ATCCTGAGTGAGGTAAGCCAGACCCAAAAAGAGGAACATGGGATGTACTCACTCATATTTGGTTTCTAGCCATAAACAAAGGACATTGAGCCTATAATTCGTGATCCTAGAGAAGCTAAATAAGAAGGTGAACCCAAAGAAAAACATATAGGCATCCTCCTGAATATTAACCTTCATCAGGCGATGAAAGGAAACTGAGACAGAGACCCACTTTGGAGCACCAGACAGAAATCTCAAGGTCCAAACCAGGAGCAGAAGGAGAGAGAATATGAGCATGGAACTCAGGACCACGAGGGGTGCACCCACACACTGAGACAATGGGGATGTTCTATCGAGAACTCACCAAGGCCAGCTGGCCTGGGTCTGAAAAAACCTGGGATAAAACCGGACTCTCTGAACATAGCAGACAATGAGGACTACTGAGAACTCAAGAACAATAGCAATGGGTTTTTGATCCTACTGCACGTACTGGCTTTGTGGGAGCCTAGGCAGTTTGGATGCTCACCTTACTAGACCTGGATGGAGGTGGGTGGTCCTTGGACTTCCCACAGGGCAGGGAACCCTGATAGCTCTATGGGCTGACAAGGGAGGGGAACTTGATTGGGGGAGGGTGAGGGAAATGGGAGGTGGTTGTGGGGAAGAGACAGAAATCTTTAATAAATAAATAAACGGGAAAAAAGAAACCATAAAATAAATACAAAGAAAGAAAGAAAGAAAGAAAGAAAGAAAGGAAGAAAGAAAGAAAGGAAGAAAGGGAACAGCCAAGCAGTGGTGGTGCATGCCTTTAATTCCAGCACTTGGGAGGCAGAGGTAGGGAGATCTCTGTGAGTTCCAGCCCAGCATGGTCTACAGAGCTAGTTCCAGGACTACTAGGGCTGCTACACAGAGCCCCTATCTTGAAAAACCGAAGGGGGAAAAAAAGGTAATATATTATGCAGGTTATTTCTGAAACATAAATAATCTTCTGTATCCCAACTGTAGCTGTTAACACTTTGAAGCTGATGACCCTGAACTCACGATCCTCTGAAATGCTTACAGGATGCTAGTTTCCATGCCTAGCCCGATAATCACCACAGTAACAGCATTTTAGGCATAGGTATGACTTTTATAGTGGCTACAGTGACCAGTGTGATTCCCAACAGCTTCTGTCATTAACAGCTGTTTACAATTCAGCCAAGAATTCCACATCTTCCAAGGTGTAAACTACATGAATTTGGGTCAGACAGGTATGTGATGGCAGATGCAGTACAGCCCAGGAGTACAACAGGCGATCTCATTTGTGTTCATACCAATCCTGTCACTGCATGACACGAATGATTGTAAAGGGCAAAAAGGCCTTGTGCACAGAGACAGGCACCGAAGAAGCCAGAATAGTTAAAGTTTACCTCTTCAATGGAATGAGATTCACAATTGCTCTTCCTGAATGCCAGGAATGAGGTAGTTTTATGACCTGGTGATACTTAACTGTCTGATGAGACAGGTTCTGCTACACCTCCCAGAATTTTAGTTATTCTAGACCTTTCCCCCTAAATCCGAGCATTGCTTTTAGACCATAAAACCTATTTTTTTTTTTTTTTGATTTTCGAGACAGGGTTTCTCTGTAGCTTTTTGGTTCCTGTCCTGGAACTAGCTCTTGTAGACCAGGCTGGCCTCGAACTCACAAAGATCCGCCTGCCTCTGCCTCCCAGAGTGCTGGGATTAAAGGCGTGCGCCACCACCGCCCGGCTAAAATCTATTTTTAAAATTTTTTTTTTCAAGACAGGGTTTCTCTGCATTAACAGTACTAGCACTGGCTGTCCTCACTTTGTAGACAGGCTGGCCTCAGACTCACAGATCCATCTGCCCCTGTCTCCCAAGTGCTGAGTTCAAAGGCATGAGCCATTATTCAGCACAAAATGTCAGGAGCCATTTCCTCCTAAAATTATTACAGGAACCATCGCCCTGGGGAGTCTGCAGAGAACTCCACACCCCCAATTGTATTGAGAAACCGTTCTATTGACAGAGCCTACCCCATACCCAAATTAGCTGTTAATAGAGAGCTATCTGTTAGCGGAACCCACCCCACATTCCAAACTATCTAGAGAACTAGGTGACTCGTGACTTCCTGGCCTACCTGACCTGACCAAAGGTAACCTCCTGGCCTTTGTGACCAACGTGAATCATGCAGCAAGAGTCCAGGCCCCTGTGCCCACCCCCCAACTCCTTATCCTATATAAGCTGTAAGCTGTCTCTAATAAACGGAGGCTCTGACAAACCTAGCATGGCCTCCTTCTTCTCTCTTAGCCCATTATCTTACAGATAGTGCCTCTCCAGGACCCTGGAATAACTGAACTGCCAGGTGGGTTACAACCCCTAGACTAAGTAACCCACCCAAAAGCGGTTTACAAAACCCATTCTTGAGGCTGGAGAGATGGCTCAGAGGTTAAGAGCATTGCCTGCTCTTCCAAAGGTCCTGAGTTCAATTCCCAGCCACCACATGGTGGCTCACAACCATCTGTAATGAGGTCTGGTGCCCTCTTCTGGCCTTCAGGCATACACACAGACAGAATATTGTATATATGATAAATAAATATTTTTTAAAAAAAGAAAAAAGAAAAAAGCCCATTCTTTTCTTTTTGTTTTTCAAGACAGGGTTTCTCTGTAGCTCTGGGGTCTTCCTGGAACTAGCTCTGTCAACTTGGCTGGCCTCAAAGAGATCCACCTGGGGAGCTGGAGAGATGGCTCAGTGGTTAAGAGCACTGCCTGCTCTTCCAAAGGTCCTGAGTTCAATTCCCAGCAACCACATGGTGGCTTACAACCATCTGTAATGAGGTCTGTTGCCCTCTTCTGGCCTGCAGGCATACACACAGAATACTGTATACATAATAAATAAATAAATGTTTTTAAAAAAAAAAAAAAAGAGATCTACCTGTCTCTGCCTCCTGAGTGCTGTGAGTGCTGGGATTAAAGGTGGGTGCCACCATTGTCCCATGAGTGATGTCACTTGTGCTCTGCAAGTCTTCTGTTACCCTAACATCCTCAGGCATTATGTTTAGGCTCCCTAGACCCTAAATCTTGGGCACTATTTTAGTCAACAGTATCCATTATTATGAAAGTCATATATATATTGTAAAGAATCTCAATGTAAACATGTCTTAAATTGTGCACTTGGGACTGAATTGTTTTCTGAATTCTCTTTCCAAAATTGTGCTATGCTTAAACAAGACTGAAGTAAAATATCTGGGCCAGACTCTAGAAATCTTGGTCCAGTGCTGATTACAATAAAATCAAGGTGAGCCGAGTTTCATTCTTGGTTCAACCCGTTATTTAAAAGAAAAAAAAAGTCAGGCTTAGACAAATTCCATTCTTATCTCTTCACGGATTGTTTTTCCCTGCCTGCTGTAAAATCTACAGGGGAATCACCACATATGGCTAAGGACAAATAATATTTAAGCTGAAAGACAAACCAGGGATACAAAATGTCTGAATCGGGGGCAAGGACCAGGGATCACCAGGAGACCCAAGCATGCCAAGGTAAGAAAAAGTGAAAATCAAGCTGCTGGCAGCATCAATGACAGCAGCCCCTTTTTAGCACAACAGGGAGCTGGGCTGATGCTCTCCTTGGCAAGGTTCTCAGAGCACTGCTTCAAATCCTACTGTTATCACAATCATGGGAACATGAGAAGGGGAAGAAAGAGAAGAGGGAAAAACGGAGGGAGGTTCAGACTATCTTGGCCATACTTGCAGGGCTACAGTAGCTTGGCCACACGAGCTCAGATCAATGTCTTGGAGAATTAAGGGTTAGAATCCAGTTCGAATTCAGAAACCAACCAATCCCCAATTCCTAGGAATTTTCCTGGCCGTTTTTCCTCATACTGCTGCACACCCCTTAAGTACTCCCCGATTCCCTGCAACCTGCAAGCCTATCTTATCATATCCCTAGCACTGTGCCTGTTAGCAATGGTCTATCAAGAGGCAGGTACTGGTATTTTCCACTCAATCAACCACTCACTTCTGCAGGCCAACTTGTCCATGCATCCTACTCAAGGCTTCAAGTACCCATGAGGAAATGCTCTCACCAAGTTTGCCTTCCAAACAACAAGCACACCCTGTTCCAAGTTTGCAAACCAATCAAAAAGAAATAGCTCAGAACATGAGTCAGGAGCAAGCGCATATCCAAGAGGCATACAGAGACAACCTCAAGCAGCAGCACTCTCAGCACAGGACACAACTAGGTTTTTTTGTACGTCCTGTTCTCTGCAGCTTCACTACAGTGGCTTTACTGTCGGTGACTGACCAGAGCATTTCAGCCAGTTAAGCCCAGTTCATTTGAGGCTTTCCATTTACAAATACAGATACTTTTTTTTTTTTTTTTTTTTTTTGGTTTTTCGAGACAGGGTTTCTCTGTGGCTTTGGAGCCTGTCCTGGAACTAGCTCTCTAGACCAGGCTGTTCTCGAACTCACAGAGATCCGCCTACCTCTGCCTCCCGAGTGCTGGGATTAAAGGCGTGCGCCACCATCGCCCGGCTCAAATACAGATACTTTATTTCATTCACTTTTCCTTAATTTTGTGAAGTCTATATTTCTAAGAGCACAACAAAACTCTGTGGCATTTTGATAATAAAAATGCTGGGGCATCTTCCTTTAACAATGTTTCCCCTAGTATTTTCTACTATGCTGAACTCGGGTCAGGTCCTCCTAGCTCTGTTATTGATGAACCCTGAAGTCTAGTTCCTTTCCCAGGGATACACGGCATGAAGGTCCCACAAACTCATCCAGCCCACTGTGCTGTAAATAAAACCCAAAGTTCACTGGAGGCTTTCTACACTGCAGCTTACTTGGGTTTTCACTCTCACTCACTGAGCTCAAATACAACCCTGTGAGGCAATGTCAAACTCATTTGCAGACTAGGAAACTGAGGCACAGATGGGCTTAGTGACTGATTCAGTTCTCACACCAGGTGTTGCTGGAGAAAGCTGAGACAACCCCACCTTCACACAAAACAACTGTCGCACTGGCTCTACGATTAGCAGCCAGGAACTGACTTTATTTATTCCCTCTGAGCACATGAAGAAGCTTGGCAGTCAGGCAGCCCAGGAGCCAATGTACAGACTTGTCTACCTACAGAGCCTCTTCTTGCTCCAGACCTGTCTTGCTGAGGAGACAGGACAGGAGATAGGCACCTACAGCGAAACTCATGCACCCGAGCGCAGTGATGAGACCAAGAGACCAAAGCACACTTCCAGGACCAGTGCATCTGCAGACAGCAGTCAGAGGCGGTGAGGCAGAACCTCTTCCTTAGAATGGCGAACACCAACTGGGAGGTGGAGCGGAGCTGGCATTCAGGTTTGAGGGCTGATGGGTAGTGAGCTCACTTGAGGCGGTAGAGCACCTTGCGCTGCATGCGGTGTTGGACCTCACCCCTGCGCAGCATAAGCTGCAGCACCTTCCGAATGGCATGTTCTGGATACTTCTGTAGGAGGGAGCAGAAGATAGATACAAGGATGTATCAGCAGGACCCAAGGGAGCCCATGGTTGCTCATAAACAACTTTACAACAGACAAAAGGCTTCCACCTTCATTCTGCCTTGACTTCAGAAGGGCTTATACTTTGTAACACTTCCTGTGTACCAGGCAAGTATAGTCCTATATCAACTTTAAACATCCAGTATTAGGAATTATCTCATTTTACAGAAGAAACAGGCTCAGAGGGTATCTGAGATCATACAGCAATTAAGTGAGCTAGCACTTAGGCCCTTGTGACCCTAGAAACCAAACTTTCTCCAGCCCCAGACTCAGTAAATGATAATCTTTTCACCTACAGAGCAGGATGCTGGTGAATCTTTTTACCAGTATGAGCTACTGTGTAAATTACTTCCAGGAGCAAAATGAGGATACACAGAAAAGAAAGCCAAGAACAGAAACCAGAGCTATCTTCATGATTTTAAAGGGCACAGGTTCCTCCTAGCACCCAAAAGCACTATCTCCTGTGCACGGGATCAGTAACCCTCTGCCCAATGGGCTACAAAGCTCACTCAACTGGTTCTTGGCTCTCTACCCTTTAAGGAGCCAAGCAACAAGGGAAAAGACTAAGAGATGGGGAAATTAGAAGGTGGTTTCTGCTACCCAGCTTGTACCTTTCCCACTTCAAGGGATATATAAGTAGCCAACTCCAACTATAGCGGTTCTTAGGGAAGAAACGGTGGCTCAAACACTCCCCACCCTAGCAACCCACTGTTGAGCATAGAGCACAGGGCAAGGGAACCAGCAGGAAATCCTCTGTATCCTGGGCATGGCTTGCAGGTTCCCAGTGTTTAGGAAGGCTCACCTGCTTGGTAAAGTCCTGAACAATACTGTATTCAGACACCTGGGAGCCAATGGCAAAGCGGCGCTTGAGTTGCTTCTCGATGCGGCTCAGCATCTCTTGGTCCTCCTGGGTAGTGAAGCCCTCCACTCCTGTGAAAGTGCAGTAAGAAACTGGGTACTAGAAAACCCAGTTCATCTCTACTGGGAGGGTCAGAGAAATGATAGCCTCTCAGTAGAGTGGCCTAACCCAGAGAGAAAATTAAAGACAGAACAGTGTCAGGTGACAGTGGGAACCTTACCACGGGAGTGAGAACTAAGAAATATAGGATGCAACAGAGGCCATCCAACAGGCCCAGCGCCAGGTGGTAGAGACATAGCCATCAAGGTAACTGAGAGCCAGGTACCATGAGGCCCTGTGGGTCACACACACTGAGGTAACAGGAATAGCCACAGAAAGGATCGGCCAGAAGCAGTTTTGTTTGGTTGGGTTTATTTATTTATTTGGGGGGAAATGTTTCACTATATAACCCTGGGTGGCCTCAAACTTCAAACTCAGAGATCTTCCTGCCTCTGCACCACCATGTGCTGTGGAAGTACAAGTTTGGAGTTACAGAGCAAGAAGACAGGGAAGGCAGGACCTGATAGGGTCCAAATATGGGTGACATTCATGAGAAGTCCTGGGTAAGAGAAGCTTACGATCTCCACCAGATGGGAGAACATCATTCCTTCTCCAACACAGCTGGCCCAGCTGTCACCACTCCCTACCACTCCTTACACTACCTATAACTACCTCCTCACTGTATTTATCCCACCAAGAAAAGTAAGAAAGTCTATGGGATAGGTAGAACAGGGAGGTTGGGAACTGCTTGCTTACAGCTCTGACACCTAGACAGTGACCGGCAAATTCTCAGCCAGAATCCTGGCCAGATCAGAGTAAACCTAACTCTGAAGAGGCTGACATATCACCAGTCTCAGAAGACTGGCTGAAAGCAGGCAACAGACACTAGGGCTCAGGGACCAACACGCCTGTGTTCCACTAAGACTTGTGAGCAAGGCACCACGGAAGCTCTGTGTCAGTCTCTGAGACAGGAAGGACTGACAGCCAGGCATCCCAGACGTGACTGTCAAAAAAGATGAGGCCACAGGCTGGGAAACTCTACAATTCTGAGCTCAACACAGGGAGGAAAGAAGGCTGCCAGCCATTCTTCACCAGTGACAGGCCACAACAATTAAATTTAATGAACTGGCTCAAGAAGCCTAGAAAAAGCTTCCAAAATAGTGAAAACAGTCCATGGAGAAGTGGGGGGCAAGGTTATTATCAAAAACACATCCAGGCAGCACCCTGCAGGCCAACAGCTAAGTAAATCTCTAAGTCTAAGGTCAGGACTACAGCCTAGCACTTACTCACCTGACAGATTGCCAGATAACGCAGCATCCAGTGTGGACACCTGGAATAATCTCAGTGCTTCCTCCACATCGGCCTCAGTGGCAAAGGGCTGCAGTTTCATCTTACTTAGGGCCTCAGCAATGCGCACAATAGCCTCCAGCTGCCTGTTGGAACAATAGAATACTCAAAGACCTCAGCCCACTTACTCCCCCCCACCCCCACCCTTTAGGAAGGAGCATGGCCAAGGTAGTTAGAACTATAGGGGAGGGGGCTGGAGAGATGGCTCAGTGCTTAAGAGCACTGCCTGCCCTTCCGAAGGTCCAGAGTTCGGTTCCCAGCAACCACATGGTGGCTCACAACCATCTGTAATGAGATCTGGTGTCTTCTTCTGGCCTGCAGGCAAACAGACAGAACACCAGGAATACTGTATACATAATAAATAAGTAGGGAAAAAAAAACTATAGGGGAGATCGCCGGATAGATTGCCATCCCCATTATCTATTACCCTATATTCTTAGTACTGGAACCCAATTTTCATTCCAGTACATGCTGCCTGGTAAAGGATATTGCCTGCCTCTTTGGTCAAGGTGGCTGTGTAAACAAGATGTGACCAATGAGCTCTAAATCCATGCATCATATGAAAATGTCAGAAGTATCCTTCAGCCTTGATGAAGGGGAGGGCTTGGTCCAAGCTCAACTTAATGTGCCAGGCTTTGCTGACTCCCCATGGGAGGCCTTACCCTTTCAGGAGTGGATGGGGAATGAGTTGAGGGGAGGGGGAGACAGGTGGGAATGGGAGGAGGGGAGGGGGAGACGGGTGGGAATGGGAGGAGGGGAGGGAGAGGAACTGGTGTGTAAAATGAACAACAACAAAAAGCGTGTCCCCGGGCTGCCTCTCTTGATGATCAAAGTGATGGCTGGAACTTCTAGAACCTTATAGGGCTGAAAGGTTGACAATGATGGACATAATGAAACCCAGGCTGACAACTCTGAAAAACCACCATAAACTACATATTCCCCAGTTTCATAATGAAAATACACTTCCAACATAAGCTACATTATACACAATCAAATCTAGTTGTAATTGTAATCAATGCTAGAGGTAGGATTCAGCTTAAGATCGTAGGCCCAGCTGTAAGTATAAGTTGAGATCCAGTGAAGATCAAATTCGTTATGGTTACATAGTTGGTCAAAGGCTAGAACAGAGCCTGGCTTATCTCCCAGGACAGTGTTCCCCCTTACCTCAGTCTGCCTCTCAGAGAGGGAAGCCAGGCCAACTACAGAAGTGAGGCACACCCAACCACCCCCAGGCTTAAACAACTCACAAAGACAGACCATTAGGAGGCCGGAGCACATGGTTCCAGAGGCTCCCTTTCCCAACCCACCCTGGGCATGTATTATGAGGATGGCAATGGCCAACTGGCCCTACTCTGTGAGATGAGGTCCACTCGCTCACCGCACAGTGATGGGGATGCTGGAACGGCGATCACTGTCCCTCTCATGCTGACGGGCCCCACTCCGCATGATGATATAACGATTCTTCAGCTTCTCTGCTGCCTCTGCCGACAGCCGAGGGCCACACCTCCTGCAGATAGCAGAGTGAACTAGAATGAGACCAGCAAGAAATCTCAGTTGCCCATCCCATCCCCAGGCCTCTACTTGGCTTGCAGACGTGTATGTTCCCACATTACTTGCAAGTCATTTGAAACAAAGAGGGACTAGGGCTGGCTATGAGCAGGTGTCAGAGATCTACATGGCATCTCTTTTGAGAAAGCTGGTTGAGATCTGAGCAGATGTGAAGAAAACTACTCTGACTGCTACTAGCTGCACTGTGCTATCTGGCCAACAGGTGTACATTCTTCCAGCACTGAGGTTCCACAGTAGCAGGCTTCTAAGCAGTCTCCTCCTCTCCACCCCGCTGATTTGAGAAAACTGAGGACCACCTCCAAGGCTTCCCAAAGCTCAAAGACATAGGAACTATCAGACCGGACTCTGATGCCCACTCACTCTGGCAGGTGCATGACCTGGGGGACCACTCAACTGCTATAGGATCAACCAACCAGTGCCCCATCTTTGGGGCCAACCTTTTCAAAGATAACTAATACTGAGAATCTGAATGAGGTTAATTAAGGGCACAGCCTTTGGAGCGGGTACCTGTCTGTTCCCACTACTTCCCACATATGTCCTCAGACAAGTTATCTAACCTTGCACCTCACCTTTCTACAACAGAGCTACAGGTCATTTATATACAAAAAGACAGAACCATGCCTAGGATAGAAGAATCGTGTAGGGTTCCGGTGATAGTTAAAGCTGCAATCCACTGAGTACTGACCCAGTGCAGAGAGATGCCAAGAATTTAACCATCTTGAGCAGTCCTTATAAAACATCAACCTTGGGCTACTGAGGCTCAGAAAACTTGAGCAACCTGCCCATTATGGTGGGCACCACAACGGTAACTTTGAAGCAAATAACCTTACACCCATGGAGTGAGTCACAGTGCTAGATGAGAGCAGAACACAGTTCAAACATGGTTACCAGGTAATCCTGGGTAAGGAAGAACAGGTCTGCATGCTCTCCACCCATGAAGCCCGGTGTCACCGAACAGGGTTTTCTCCCAACACTCACGCTCGGCAGTAGGCAATGAACTTCTTCATCTTGGCCAGGTCAATCTCACCCTCCACAGTCTGTGTCTGTGTCAGGGCACTCACATGCAGAGTGATTACATGTTTGGCCAGCATCTTGGCAAAAGAGGAAATACTGGGTAAGCACAAAGGTTGAACAGACAGGAAGAAATAATGATGTGGTGGGATGTGGCTTCTGCTCCAGTTCCTGTGGCCTATCTACTGCTGGCAAGTATGGACATAGAGCTGGGTGCTGGATCTTTGCGAGTTCAAGGCTAGCCTGACCCACAGAGTGAGTTCCAGGACAGCCAGGGCTACATACAAAAACCTGTCTTGGTGGTAGATATTGGACATACCCAAGCCAATGAGAGTCCATCCTGGGACCTCTACTAGAACTACTGGAAAAGTCTTCTTTCTCCCTCTTTTCTTTAGGGACAGTTAAATCACCAGCTATCAAACTGAGTACACATTATTGATTCTATTAATACTCAGAATTGAGCCAGGATCTTTTACATGCTAAGAAAGCACTCTGCCACTGAACAAAATCCCCAGTCCTTTATTACTTCTTTTGAGATATGGGTCTAAGTTGCCAAGCTGACCTTAAAGTTGCAGTTCTCCTGGTTTAGCCTCCACCGAAACCTAAACCTAAACCTGGTCAATCTTTTTTTAAAAATATTTATTTATTTATTTATTTAATATTTATTTATGTATTTAAATATTTATTTATTCATTATGTATACAATGTTCTGTCTGTGTGTATGCCTGCAGGCCTGAAGAGGGCAGCAGACCTTATTACAGATGGTTTTGAGCACCCATGTGGTTGCTGGGAATTGAACTCAGGACTTTTGGAAGAGCCACAATCTCCAGCCCAACCTGGTCAATCTTTTACCATCTGTGGTGGTTTGAAAGGAAATAGTCCCCCCAAAGGAAGTGGCACTATTAGGAGGTATAGCTTTACTGGAATAGGTATGGCCTTTTAGAGAAAGTATCTCACTGTGGAGGAAGGCTCTGAGTTCTCATATATGCTCAAGCCACACCGTGTCTCAGACCACTTCCTGTTGCCTATAAGTCAAGATGTAGAACTCTCAGCTCCTTCTCTAGCACCACATCTGTCTGCATGCTGCCTTGCTTCCCATGACAATGGACTAAACTTCTGAACTGTAAAGCCACCACAACTAAATGTTTTCTTTATAAGAATTGCCGTGGTAACAAGTGTCTCTTCACAGCAGTAGAAACCTTAATTGCCTGAGAATGAAGCAGAGAGACAGTTGGGCCAGCAACCACCTGTGCACTAAACTTATTGCAAACCAAATTCCCTAACTATTTTCTTTCAGAAATTTACTAGCAAGGGCAAGGAGTGAAGCTCAGTGGAAGCATCTTGCTAAAATCACCCAGCATCTCCCTCAAGGCATAAACAGGACTAGGCCACAGGACTCCAGGTCCCTCTCCAACACTCTGCAAGTCACTAATGCAGTCATTTCATGTGCATCTCGCTCACAGCCTATCTGAGCACCGGCATTTCCCCGGCAAAATCTCTTGTTCACCCTCATGACCATGAAACCACCTGGAGCCACCAGCCCAGCCAATGAGACATACCATGTCCCTCTCCTCATTGTGCTCATCTTTGACGATGAAGATCATGTCAAATCGGGACAAGATGGTAGGCATGAAGTCAATATTGTCCTCCCCTTTTGTCTCATCCCATCGGCCAAACACTGAGTTGGCTGCAGCCAGAACAGAGCAGCGAGAGTTCAAGGTGGTAGTGATCCCAGCCTGAGATGGAAAGTGGGGAAGAGACAGTCAAAAAATCCTGGGACAGGCCTCTCCTTCCTCGCATATGAACTCATACACATACACCCATATACATACATTACTTGTGTGTGTGTGCACATGCGCTCATAAGGATGCGTGCGTGGGTGTCTGTGTGTGTTCCAGGCCGGCTGCTGCCAGCACAGTCCTAAGTAAACATAACTTGGTACATCCATCAGAGCAGCTTGAAGAAGACCACCAGGCTGAAATGATGAAGGATGAAAGGGCCACTCACCTTGGCAATGGAGATAGTCTGCTGTTCCATGGCTTCGTGGATTGCCACACGGTCATCTTCCCGCATCTACATTGGAAAGACACATCTATCAGAATCCTCACCAGGGAGAGGAAAGTGGCAGGAGAATAACTAGGAATTGCTACCATTCCATAATACAGACTTCAGGTCAGCCAATGGCAGATGACCACATGAGCTTGGCTTTCACTCTCCCCAATTTCTAGAGTATCTCAGAGAGGTAAAGCAAGCAACTTATCCAAGTTACCCCAGAGTGATAGGCACAAGAAGTACATACAACGCTCTCAGAAATGCTATGTGCTACCACACCTGAGTCCACACACCCCAACTAGAAGACTTACTCACCTTGTCAAACTCATCAATACAGACAACCCCACCATCAGCCAGAACCATGGCTCCACCTTCCATAATAAAGTTTCGGGAAGAGGGGTCCCGCATCACTGAGGCAGTCAAGCCAGCAGCACTGCTGCCTTTTCCAGATGTGTATACCTTGGGAAAGTAAGGAGAGGTGTCAGCACCAAATGCTAGCCCCAAATGCCAAGAACCCAGAAGGTTGTAACGACTCCACATCACAATGCAAAGGTCCAGAACTCAAGGCCCAACTGAAAATTCTTTCTTCTGCAAGGAAAAAGGCCATCCTGGGCCTCAGCCTACTTTAAGAATTTCTTTGAAGCTGGGCAGTGTTGGCACACACCTTTAATCCCAGCACTCAGAAGGTAGAGGCAGGTGGATCTTTCTGAGTTCAAGGCCAGCCTGGTCTATAGACCTAGTTCCAGGATAGCTAGGGTTGGTACAGAGAAATCCTGTCTTGAAAAATCAAAAACAAAAGTCTCACCTGAGCTACAGCACAGCCCTGTGACATAAGCAATGAGGCCCAGAAAAGGAAGGGCATATTTCAAGCTGGCCTCAGGGCTGGGAATTCCTGGTTCTTAGGTTGTCTCTACCCTTAGAGTTCTTCATCTGTGAAGACCTGCATGCTATATGCTGCCAGACTCCTTGAAACATACCTACCTGAGATGCTTGTCAATGAGACACTCAGATCAGACTGCACTACCGGGAATGTCAAGTACTTGTCTATAGTAGGCCTGGGGTGTGGCTTAGTGTGTTAAAAAGTGTTTTCCTAGCATGCACAAGATTTTCAGGTTCCATCTATACTGACAAAAAAAAATTACTTATATTGAACTACAGGTATAAACAGATTATACAAGTTATTTTCACCTAGTCTTACTTTCTAAATGTGGCTACTACAAGATTTAACAGAGCTCACAGTTTCAGGCCACGGTATTGCTATGGGATGGTGCCAATGTGGTAAACTTAGCACACACCCCTCCATCTAAAACCATCACTTCCTATTGCACAGTCCACTTACCCTGATCTTCCCAGACCTAGGAGACCTGGATCATTAGACACACTGGCTCAAACCTTGTTCTAAAGTCCCCCAGTAGTGGGATCTTGAGCTCCGTTCCTATCTCCAATGCATAACACGGGTGGTAATACTCATGAGGAGACAGTTAAGTGAGTAAAAACTTCACAGGCACATCAGGAAGCATCTGGCCCATCTTGATACCAGCTACTATCACTAGCAGTGCCATTATTTTGCAACTAGATAGGTTGATGCTCAGGGAGTCTAGGCTACCTCTTCAAAGTCCACGTGACTACTGCTAGTCTGAGAAGCAAACCAGACCTGACTCAGTCCATGTTCTTACCACCCACACCTAACCTGTTGTCCTTTCCTTCTCACACCCTCTCTGCCATCCCGACAACAGACAAGATGAATGAGAAAAAAGTAGGTCCTGGTTGAGCAAGAGCCCATGAATGCCCACGAACTGTAGCTTTATTCTCTGCTGGGGCATCCAAGCCAGGAAGAAAGTAGTCCCCAGCCACTCACCCCAATGGGAGAGCACTTCTCCACAAACTTCAAAAGCTGTGACTTGGCTGTGCCAGGGTCCCCCAACATCAGCAGGTTGATGTCACCTCGGCGAGTGAGTCCATCAGGGAGCCTAGACACAACAGGTTGGTAGAAGACAGTGAATCTGTGGGCTGTCCTTGAACTCACCATCTTCCTACCTCAATCCCCCAAATTTTAGGATTATAATCAGGGATCACCACTCCTGGCTTTGTGTGGGTTGGTCACCCTCCCCTCAGAGTCTCAGAACAGGTGTAAATGACAGTTTGGCCCAGAAACATGTTCACACCCAGTTCTGTGCTTCCTAGCCTAACACTGGGGGGCAAGGCTTATTTCCCAGGTAGAGATGTAAAGGAAATGAGAGCTAAGGGTCGGGGAGGCACACCTGAGAACTATGCACACTGCAGAATAGTCACAGAGGAGGATCCAGTTAAGCCCCTTCGTTCTCCGTGCCTCAGTTTCCCCATCTATGAAATGGACACTACAGTGACACCCTTATAGGCTGAGAGGACAGGACTGGGTTGGAGTAGTACCAAAGAGTTCCACAATAGCCTGCAATGGGACATAACAAAGGTTATTTATTTGGGGATAAACTCACAGTAAGGGTAGTCATCGCAGTCCTCTTCGTGTGCTGGGAACTGACACCAAATCCAGCCAAAAGGGGGCTGCACAGGCTTTGCTTTTCATCTGTACTTACAGTACATGAGACCACGCCCAAAGTGGGCCGGTCTACTGAGCTTAATACAAAACTATATACAATAAGAACAAATATCAAGTATTGTCCAGGGAAGAGGCAAAAACATACATAAAAATTAGAATTACAACCAGCATGAACAAACATCAAACAAGAAAAATATGCCAAATGTTTCACTAGTTATCCTATCCGAAGGCATCTAAGTCATGTATTAAAAATGGCTTATATACACACATATAATGGTAGTTGCCACTTATTAAAAATCAAAGCTGGTTTTGGAATTTGACATTGGCTCTCCTCTAAATCTAAGCATACTGTTTAAAAAAAATTCCAAAGTTTCTGTCTCATATGAGGAGCCATCTGGTATGGGACAGAAGGAAGATAAAATCTAGGGACTATAGTTAATCAAACTCTGCTTTCAAAAATTTTACTTCTCCCCATACCTACTCTTGCCTCTATAGTACGCTTTCGTTGAAATATGTCCATAGAAATTCAAACTTTCCGTTTTGATATGAATAAAGTTTTCCAAAATGAACAATACATTTCCTGCAATAATCTTTGTAGTCTCCAGGAAGAAGATAGAGCACCACAATTCCACCTGGTTGATACGATGTCATTATGCTGATAGCACCACTTTAAGATCAGTTTAGGTTATAAACTGCTCAAGATGATTTCAACTTGGCTAGCTGAGATGGTGCACCTTCTTTTTTTTTTTTTAATATTTATTTATTTATTATGCACACAATATTCTGTCTGTGTGTATGCCTGCAGGCCAGAAGAGGGCACCAGACCCAATTACAGATGGTTGTGAGCCACCATGTGGTTGCTGGGAATTGAACTCAGGACCTTTGGAAGAGCAGGCAATGCTCTTAACCTCTGAGCCATCTCTCAAGTCCCCCAGTGCACCTTCTTATAACGTTCTGCCCAGAACTTCAAACAAGCATTTCAGAAAAACCCTACCAACTATACTCAGAGACTATCTGCAATTGTACCAGACAATAATCATGAAATTTAACCCATCATTTTAGTTATACAGGATCCCATAGAAATAACACTGCACCTAGGACAGCTGGAAGTAATTCTAGAAAATGACATCCACTCTCCCAACAAAGTTTGTCCTCAGGGTTAGGGCCATCTATTAGGGGTATAGGGTTGGGGTGGAAATGAAGTAAGCTAAGGGATCTCTCTTGAAAAAAAAAGGGGAGAGTGGAGGAAGCCAGGCAGTGGTGGTGGTGCACACCTTTAATCTCAGAACTCAGGAGGCAGAAGCAGGCAGATCTCTTTGAGTTTGAGGCCAGTCTGATCTACAAGAATTAGTTTCAGGACAGGCTCCAAAGCTACAGAGAAACCCTGTCTCGAAAAAATCTACAAAGAAAAGAAAAGAAAAGAAAAGAAAAGAGGGGTGATGGATGGGATAATAGGTAGATTCCCTTCTCAGGTCTTTGATGGGGTTGAAGACAAAACAATCAGTTACTTTCCTCTTATGACTTAGCCAAGCCATTTTCAATATAAGACTTAGACTCCTTAGGATAGAATAACTATTGAAACATTTAGCATGTGTTTCTTGTTGGATGTTGTGCATGTGGGTTGTAATTCTAGTTTTTATGTATGTTTTTGCCTCTTCTTTTTCCTGGACAATACTTGATATTTGTTCTTATTGTACGTAGTTTTGTATTAAACTCAGTACTCTCTTATTGAGACAGAAAGGAGGAAGTGTTGTGGAAACTCCTTCAGCCAATAGCCTTTAAGATACCGGCCCACTTTAGGCATGGTCTCATGTACTGTAAGTGCAGATGAAAAGCAAAGCCTGTGCAGCCCCCTTTCTGCTGGATTTGGTTTCAGTTCCCAGCACACGAAGAGGACTGTGATGACTACCCTTACTGTGAGTTTATCCCCAAATAAATAACCTTTGTTATGTTCCATTGCAGGCTATTGTGGAACTCTTTGGTACTACTACAATTGGTTCAGGACACATTAACCACAAGAATGCTCTGAACATATAAAAAATGTATTAAACAGTAGCCACTAGTACAATGCCATTGCTGCTACTGTCTGTAGCTGTATTTTAGTTTCAAAAGGACATAGGAAGCCGTAAGTGACCCACACCTGCAATCTTAGAATCTGGGAAACTGAGTCAGAAGAATCATAAGTTGTAAGGGCAGTCTGACTATATAATGAGGAAAAAAAACAAAAAATGTGTTTCAAAAAAGAAAAACCAAAACAAAGTATGTGTATGTATGTATATATATATGACACTTTCTAAGTGCGAGATGTTTCACATATCTCATTCAAGCACAGAAACTTTGTTCAAGGCGGCCTCTCTCACTCCCCATACAGTCTAGGGCAGAGATCAAATCCTTGGTCCTAGCCCAATGTTTTCCCACTGTGTTCCCCATGCCAGCAGGCTGAGGGACCTGGGAGGCATGAAGAAAACTAGGTTCTCAACACAGATGTCCTTCTGAAGCAACCTTGTCATTAATACCCTCCTCCCAGGCTCCTCACCTCTTCCGTGAACCCCCAAAGAGTAGGCAGGCTATAGCTTTTTTCATATCCACGCCCCCAAAGATGGAAGGGGAAATGCTCTTAGAGATAAGCTCATAGATGTTGGGGAGGGCAGCCAGGCGACGAAATTCCTCCTCTTCCTGTGGGCTGACAGACCCAGTAAAGCTGCGGCCTAGGAGGACAGACAGGTGCATAAGTGAGCAAAAGACATCTCCTCCAGCCTACTGCTGGGCCTAGCCCTAAATCAGGAACCTCCTCACCCCCTTAGCACCAGGAGGGCACAATCTCATTCAAGAAAGTTAGGGCACAGGACTATCCCAGTCTTCCAAATCTCAAGGGTCCAGTGAGGAAAAGAAGGTTCCAAACAATCAGAAGGATAGATCATAGGTAGGTTAAGTGGTGTATGCCACCTTTAATCCCAGCACTTGGGAGGCAGAGACAGGAAGGTTTCTGAGTTTGAGGTTAGCCTAGTCTACAGCGTGAGTTCCAGGACAGCCAGGGATACAGAGAAACTGTCTCAAAAGACCAGAAACAAACAAACAAAACAGGCCAGATCATATGGCCCCTGGGGACCACTGGCAAATCTCTTACAAGGCAGATAAAGTAGAGAACCAATGCAATTGTTTGGTCGCAATAGCATGGCTCACTTTAGCTGCTGAGGAATCGGAGAAAGTGGACTCTCAAGTGTTCTTCCAAGAACAATCTAGGAGAAAGAGTGGGACTCAGACCAGGGCACTAAGAAGTGGACAGTCCTAAGTGTGAACGTAAACAGCCAAACAGTATACTTGCATTGAGGTGGAAGGATTTAAAAAGAACTGAAGAGGACCTGGAGGGCTTGCTGAGCACCTGAAAGTGGGGAAAGGCTAAGGAGGAGCCAGTTTCAGAAGGTGGGAAATAAAAGTGCTTAACTGAGCTGGGCGGTGGTGGCGCACGCCTTTAATCCCAGCAGAGGCAGAGGCAGGCTGATCTCTGTGAGTTCAAGGCCAGCCTGGTCTACAAAAGGAGCTCCAGGACAGGCTCCAAAGTTACAGAGAAACCCTGTCTCGAAAAACCAGGAAAAAAAAAAAAAAAAAAGGCTTAACTGTAGCCACATTAAGTCTGGGATGGCTAGTCAAGCAGAGTTAGATTTAAGTCTGGAATATGGCTAGATAATCAGGTGGCTTTTCCAATTTTAACCCGGGAGTTTTATGGACATAGAATATGGACAAGGTACTCAAAACTCCATCACTCTAGCCCAGAGGTTGCTACCACTGCCCCTGGGTGCTAAGCATGAGTTTTCTACTCCATGTGAGAGTTGAGGCTATTTACTTGATTCCTGACATTTGTGAGCTGAAGCTATTTACAAGGCCCCTGCCATTCAACCCAACTCTTACTAGAGATCCAGTTATATCCACCCCCTACAAGGCCTGAGTTCCCATCAGCTCTCCTATATCCTGCAAGACCCTTTTGCTCCACATCTCCATCCTTCCAAGTCAGTGCTGACACCCCTGGTGAAGGAAGCCTTCCAATGACACCCTAGCTCCTTCTCAGTACCTTGATGGAATCAAGCAGTTCAGTTTCAGGCACCTGCTCCTCAGAGGCTGTTTTTTCAACTAGACTGCTCAACCCTCTTTGTCTCCTCTGCAGCTACCGAGACGCAGTGCAGCACACACCACATTGCATCTATCTACTGCACTGAGTCATGCAATTCAAGCATGCATTTAGGCAACAACCTCAGAGCGGGAGCCACAACTATACAGTAAGTGGACATTTTGGGAAAACAAATTTTGCCTTCTGAAAAATAAACACCCTGGGATTGGGAATATAGCTCAGTGGTAGAATATTTGCCTGGTATGCACAAGGTTCTGAGTTTGAGCCCTACCATGAAAAAGAAAAGAAAAGCATGTCCTGATGGTTTGAGCAACTCACCAGAGCCATCTGTATCCACCTGGATGCCCAGGACCCGGATGTAGGAACTCCGGATGCCCACACCCACTCTGTCCCGGCCTTTGCCGGAGTTCATTCCAAACTTCTTGATGGAATAGATGCCCATGATGGTGACTCTGTTCCCAGGAACAACCTTGTCACACAGGTACCTGAGAAAAGTGCAGTAAATAAAGAAAAACAAGTGAAATCCAGGGGTGACGGTGTGGTCAGCTTAGCATGTCTACCCCTAGCATCACTATCAGGCTGGCTGGATCCTCACAAGGCCTAGAGGAAGGGACCTTTCCCTACTACTGCTACACACCCATGTCTGTCTGGATGGCAAAGACAGTGTTTATGATGCTGAGCTGGTTCTCACTGAACTCAGCTGTGCTGGTGGAGCCCAGCCTTCAAATGTCCTAGCTCCATTTTATCTGACACCAGGCTCAATGGGTGTCTCATTTTGACTCCTTAGGAGACCTTTCTCCTCATACCCTGCCACCAGACTCCTTGCAAGGACCACTCTCAATTTCTGCTTCTGACACTCTCTGAACTCAACCAAGTCAGCCTGCTTGTAGGTTTTCAGTCAGTTATTTTAATGAGATGGTACGTGGTTAAGTCTCCAAGTTTCCCCAGAACCAGTGTGCCTTAAAAGACCAGAGCAGGGGGCTGGAGAGATGGCTCAGAGGTTAAGAACACTGTCTGCTCTTCCGGAGGTCCTGAGTACAATTCCCAGCAACTGACATGGAACCATCTGTAATGAGATCTGGCTCCCACTTCTGGCCTGCATGCATACATGGAGGCTGAACACTGTGTACATAATAAATAAATAAGTCTTTTAAAAAAAAAAAGAAAGAAAGAAAATAAAAGAAAAAAGACCAAAGCAGCTGTGTGATATCAAAGAAGTCATTGTGCCTCTCTGAGCCTAGAGAAATGATACTTAATCTGACTTGTCTCAACTGGTGGGAATCAAGCAAGGTAAAAAACACAAAGATGTGGGCAGTGGTGGTTCACACCTTTAATCTAAGCACTCAGGAGACAGAGGCAGGTAGATCTCTGAGGGTTTGAGGCCAGCCTGGTCTGACAGGTTCCAGGACAGTAGGACAGCCAGGGCTACACACAGAGACAGCCTGTCTCGAACAACAAAAGAAAACACACACACACACACACACACACACACACACACATTCTTTTTTTTTTTTTGAGATTTATTTATGCATTATGTGTACAGTATTCTGCCTACATGTATGCCTGCAGGCCAGAAGAGGGTGTCAGACCTCAGTACAGATGGTTGCTGAAAATTAAACTCAGGACCTCTTAACCGCTGGTCCATCTCTCCAGCCCCACAAAGGTGTTCTATACACTAACACTATCAGATCACAGCTTCACAGGACTGTTTCAGGCACCCATACTGTTTATTAACCTCCTACACTTTTCACACCTTAATCCTCAAGCCCTCTGGATACTCAGAGAATACTCTAATACCCTATACTCAGTTAAGGAATTGTGTTAAACCCTTGACATTTATTGTTAAGCAGTCTGAGATACTCCAGACCCCCATTTTACTGATGGGGAAAAAAAATGAGGCTTAGGGTGTAGCTTTCCAAAGAGTCTGCGTCTGCACATACTTGCCAGTAATAAAGCTGACAACCATGGTCCATCACTCCCCAGAAAGCTTTGCATCTGTACTTGACCTCAGGTGTATGAGCCCAGGGTAAGCACTCAGGGACCTGTAAACCTTCACCCCAGGTCAGTTTATAACTACTCAACAAAACCACAGGCAAATTCTTAACAGGAAGCCTGACTAGGACAGCAGATTGAACAGGAGCTAGCACAGCTGCTGGGGATCCTGCTGTGCTGAAAGAGCATAGGCCTTGGTACCACTTCTAAGTCATCTGACCTCCCCCAGCTAAAGTCCCCATGTAAAATATGGGTAGACAGGCCTTGTGGACTATGGGAGACGAGAGATGACAGTCAATAAGAAGCACCAGACACAGGAGCTCTACCCTGCACACACTCTGCTCCAGATGATCTATCTCTATGGTACACCTGAGTGACATGTGCAACAACCCACAGCCCTGCCAGCCTACCTGTCACAGTAGAGCTGCATGTGCCTGGGCATCTCACCATGAGGCACTGCATCAGGAAGCTCCTGAAGTTTCAGGGTCTGGAAGTCTACACACTTGCACTTATCAGGCATGATGAAGTAAGGGTCCAGTGGGCACTTTGGGCGCCCTGCCTGATCCCTGGACAGGGGAGAAAGCAGTTACCAGAGTTACCCTGAGGACCCAAAGGCAGCGCTCATCCATTCAAAGTCAGCCTTGAGATGCAGCAGCAATATAAGGAAGAGCTGGGATAAGTTTGGAGAAAGGCCTGGAAGGACAGTTTCCATGATGGCAGGATGCTATATCCAAAGTCAGAACTTCAGGAGCCTTGGCACACTGAGGTGGCAATCATACTCTTAATTCCTTCATGAGGCCTCACTGTCCCCACATGTGAAAGAGAGGCTATATATCAAATTCCTTCATAAACCGCATCCACAGCCAGGATCTTTTCCAGTAAGGTTTTACCACCTCTAGAACATTCTGAGGATGCAGACTCTAAGGCCTATATATAAGTCTACTCAACTAATATAGGTGAGGAAACAGCAGTGAACCAAAAGTCCCTGGTCTAGAAGCTAAGTTCCCATTAGGATTGAAAACTATCTGTATAGTATAATGACATTCAGTAAAAATAGGCAGGTGGGAGGGTGTAAGCACAGGATAATGAAGAGGATAAGGTAAGAGGACAGGTAAGGAGCCTAAAGAGACAGAAAAAACGTGGCAGCCTGAGGAAAAACCATTTAGGCAGAGAGAACTAGACCCAAGGCAGCCTATGGAAGGGCCAAGTCACTCTGCTCCTGAATAGGGAATAGACTGAGGAGCAGTAAAGCTGGGACATGAGGAGACGGAGGAACTCCTCTGTGGCTGCAGGTGAGGGCAAGCAACAGCCTAGGACAAGGCCAGTATGCCTCAAGCAACGTGGAAGCTGAGAAGAAACCAGAAGAGAAAGCCAAAAGCAATCAGGATACAAGTAGGGTTCATTGGGTCAGAGTCAAACATTTCCTAATAAGACCATACAGTAAATATTTTAAGTACTGCTAACTGAAAGTCCATTTGTTCTACCACTATAGTGGAACAACATGCAAAATATCAAGTAGGATAGCCATGTTCTCAGGCAGTACAGTGGGCACTCTGGCTCTAGCCCAGCAAGTCAATTTGCTTTAGAAGATTCTATGAGTGGGGTAGTGGTAGCACATGCAGGCAGATTTCTGAGTTCAAGGCTAGCCTGATGTACAGAGTGAGCCGCAGAATAACCAAAGCTACACAGAGAACCTTTCCCCTCAAGATCCCATATAGAATCCATCTCTATGGACTGTTTCCTCTTCAACCTTGCGTCTCCCACATAGGTTGTGTGACATTCAGGTGGGGCACCCACATGAAGGAACACCATGCCGGGTCTGACCCAAGGATATCGTGCTACCCAGCCCTTCACAGAAGGCCTAGAACAAGTAGCTACATACAGGCAGTACTTGCCAGGGTTGTAGGCTTTTTGATCTGAAGTGATTCATTCAGGTCACTTCCCCCAGAATCCCTCCCGGCTATACACTCACATACTGCACTTCCTGGGGAGAGCATAGCCCTCCAGTCCTGGACGCATGGCAATATTGGTGAGGGTGTTGTGGCAGCTGCGGCACTGAATGGAGATACGAGTAGCTTTGGCACGAACCGCAGAGGCTGAGATGATGATGCCGGGGATCTTCACCAGGTGTGACATCATGTCTGACTGTAACAGAGACACAAGGAGACTTGATAGTTAAGGAGAACCAGGAGACATGAGAAGGTGCTGAGGAAAGACAAGGACAAGATCTGGAGGAGGTGACAAAGCCATGGCTCATAGTTTAGCTCAGACTTTCCAGAGCATTCAATGCCAGGCTACCTGGACACCAGGTTCAGGAGCCTCAGACACAGGCCGGTACTTTCAGGGGCCTCGCAGAACAATGGGAGAGGACTGGAGAGACAAAGGAAACATGAAACACCTTTTATGACAAAACCATAAGACCCAAACTCCAGCTCTAACAGTAACTTCCTGTGCTGTACACCACAGAGAACAGACATGGGGCAGAAGCCCAGGCTCTAGTTCAAGTTCCATCTCCAGCCACTATGGACCTTCTGCCAGCCTTAAGTTCCCCATCGTAACGACTACTGGATACTAACACTAAGTTTTTGGGGGGATAGGGGCGGTTCAAGACAGGGTGGACAGGGTGTCTCTGGAGACTGCCTGGAAATCCTGGTTCCAGGACAGGAACCAAAAGCTACAGAGAAACCCTGTCTCGAAAATCAAAAAAAAAAAAAAAGGCATATACAACATTCAGCTTAAAATTCTTCAGAAATAAACAGGAAAAGGCAGAAAACTAGATAAAATATTAGCATTCAATCTCAGTTAACAGCATATGGAGCTCATTACACTTTTCTCTACACTTCTGTATGTGATAAGTTTCTCACAGTGGGCAGGTAGGCTAGAGATAGCTCAGCAGTTAAGAGCATTGGCTGTCCTCCACAACTCCCAAGTTTGGTTTCCAGCACCCACATGGTGCCTCACGACCACCCGTAATTCCAATTCCAGGGATCCAATGTTCTCTTCTGACCTCCATGTACACATACATTGTACACACAGGCAAAATACTCATGCACGTAAAATAAACCTAAAACAAAGAACAAGCAAAGTTCCTTTTTCCATCTTTCCATTCCAAGTTTTTCTGGAACAAAGGGGCTCCACTGTTCGAAGGAGAAACATAGGAAAAAGTGGCCACCTCTGGGAAATGAGGATGGAGTCACAAAGACCTGCCCAGGCATTACAACCCTTGAACAATCCATAACAACTTTTTTGAAAATTACCTACAAGGGTGCAGATATCCCATCCCTAGTAGGGGAATCCCTCTAGAATACTGGTTCTCAATCTTCATAATGCTATAACCCTTTAATACGGTTCTCATGTTTTGGTGGCCCCTCCAACCATAAAAATATCTGTTGCTACTTCATAACTGTAAATTTGCTGTTAGGAATCGTAATGAAAAATTCTGGCATACAGAATATCTGACATGTCACCTCCAAAGGGGTGCAACCCACAGGTCAAGAAGTACTGCTCTGGGGCTGGAGAGATGGTTCAGTGGTTAAGAGCATTGCCTGCTCTTCCAAAGGTCCTGAGTTCAATTCCCAGGAACCACATGGTGGCTCACAATCATCTGCAATGAGGTCTGGTGCCCTCTTCTGGCCTGCAGGCATACACACCAACAGAATGTTGTATACATAAGTAAATAAATAAATATTTTTAAAAAAAAGTACTGCTCTATAGGGCCAAGTACTCACTGCAACCAGTACATTTGCAGTACGTTTCCCAGAGTGGAAGAGGCATGGCTCTGTACAACCCACCCCGCCCAAACTCCGCCAGAAGAGGGACAATCTTCTCTTTCCAATGAAATAGCAGCCCCCACCCAGACAGATCCAATGCCACCATCAGAGAGAGAACCTACGATGCAGTTCAGTTCTAGACCACGAGACTTGAGAAGAAACCAACAGACACTGTGCAAAGGACTCAGCTGTCTGTGGAAGCGAGGCTGTCCTGCTAACCGAGAACAATTTGACAGGGCCTCCAAAACTGCAGAGCTCTACACGGTCCAAGCAAGATAAATAGCCTTCGGTGTAGTGACACCAAGTCAATGGTGACACCTGGACACTACTACAGAGTACTGCCACATGTACTGTGCCTTTGATTCTCAACAACCCTAAGACAGAACAACAATCAGTGTTGCGTCCTCCTCCCTGCCTGCATTATAAATCCTCTTCTACATAGCAGCTAGAGGGATCTTTTGAACTCGGCATCAGTCTCCGGCTGGAGTTAGATAGAGTACTTCACCAGCCTCATAGAAAGAAAATGGAATCAGGGCCAGTGAGTAAAGACACCTGCTTGCCTCCAGGAACTGCACATGTGGACGGCACCTGCACACATCCACCTCTTGTTTACCAACATTCAGGCTCAGGGGACTCCAGCTGCACTGCTTTCTCTCCACTCCTCCAAACAGGCGACCATTTTCACCCCTGGGCCTCTGCACCTGCTGCTCTTCCTTGAGCTGGTGGAAAGCCCTTCCAGGTTTTGACCTGGCTGGCTACACACCCTTCAGTTTTAGCTCCAAGATTACTTGCTCAGAAGGATTCTCTCCCAACTCTCCACCCATCTCAGCCATGGCCACGGTGTCCCCCATTTCTTTTGGTCTTTTTATTTTTTTATTTTTTATGTTTTTTTTTTTTTCTGAGACTGGGTCTTACTATGTAGACCAGGCTGGCCTCATAGATTTGCCTGCCTCTGCCTGTGAGTTATCGATGGTGTTTACTGGTTTGTCAGTCTCCCCAATGGACAGGAAGTCACTGCTGTTTCTACAAGACTCAACTCTGCCTTCCCTTAGGACATCAATCTACAGAAGTATTTTATACATAAGGACACAGGCTTACTTAAGTGTCCTGCTCAGGGTCACACATCTGGTGCCACAGGCTACCGATGCCAGAGCCTTGTGCACCATATATCAACCACGCCACCCTGACTGGCCCACTCAATAGACCCACCTTCAGAATCCGAATGCTAGATGGGCTGGCATCTGACTTGAGCATGACCTGGATGTCCTGGAGCTGCTCATCACCTGCAGGCCGGGGTCGGGTCACCTCATCTGCTACCTCCTTGGCAGCTTCCTCAAGCTGAAGAAGAGGAAAGGTATAAACTGCTGGTGACGGGACTGGGCCAGGCTATACAAGACTCTGAAACCGGCGCTACTCACCAGTTGCAGGTGCTCGGCTGGCTGTTTGTACAAGTAGTCGGCCAGCTCCTCGTCAAAGCTGGCCAGGTCCTCCATCTCCACCTCGACCCAGTATTCCCCCAGGTTGTAATGCCGCTTCAGTTCATCTCTGCGGTGGCCAACAAGACGGCGAGGAGGAGCCGTCAGCCGCGGTGCCCACGCTACAGCCCTGCCCCCACCTCCCTCCACACCTGACCCGAGGGCGGTCCAGCCTCTACCCAGAGGGTCCTCCCTAGACCTCCTTCGCCTCACGCAAGCGGTCCCACCTGTACTTGAAGGTGAAGCCCGTGCGGTCGGTGCCCACTCGATACTGTCGCAAGAACTCCTTGAAGCGCCTCTGCAGCTGCGACTTGCGGGCCTGGCCGTCGTCGGCGCCCGGGTCGCCACCGAAGCTGTCGCTGTAGAAAATGCCGGGGTCGTCGAAGCCCGACATGACTGCACCTCGGTCCCTCACCTCTCAGCGCCGCGCCACAGGAACCTCGGTCCCCTACAAGCCGGCTTTCGCGGGAAAACCAGCCTTGACGTTCGTCCGCCGCGGCGTCTGCGCTCGCATTGGTTATTCGGCCGCTCTGGTCCGTCGAGTCCCGCCCCCCTGCCTGATTCCCAAAATGATTGGCTGTGATTCCTGGGCGGGAGGGGGGGGGAGTTCGTGCACCACTTCCTTCCGGTCTCCATTTTGTGAGCGGGACGTTTTGGCGCGAAAAATTGTGAAAAAGGTGGAAGCTGTGACTGTGGCGCGAGCCAAGCCACGCAAAGACGGCGGAGCGTCACGGGAGCTTTGTGCTCATTTCTTAAAGTCTTTTAGGTCTGGCGAGGAAGCCGAGCCTGGTGGTACAGGTCTGTCCTGAGAGATGACTCCATGATGAACAGCGTTGCTGTTCTTACTCCTCGGTTCCCAGAGGGGCTCACAACTGCATCTAACTCCAGCTCCAGGGGATCCAACGTCCTCTCTGGCCTCAGTGGGGCGCCACGGTCACCGGGCAGCGTGGGGAGTGAAAGATCCCCGCTTAGCTGCTGTAATGCCATCTTGCAAAGCCTTCACACAAACAAATGTAAGTTCAAGGTAAAGTCAGTACTCCTAGGCGGTCAAACAGGATATCTATGGTCAGACACCAGGCCTAGGAGGGGAATGAACAGTTCTGGGAAAAACTACATGTACCCTAAATAGGGCCAAGTCTGCTATTATTATCAGACCTTCATGTCTCTTGGGAACTTGTCCCCTAAATGAACCCATCGCCTCATTCGAACTGACCAATGAGATCCCTGTAACCATGCATTGCTTCTGTATGCCTGCTTTTGCCACCCTTTTCCTATAAAAAGACCTTCTGCCAGCCTGCAGGCGCGCAAGTCCTCCGAAAACCGCCCACAGGAACCTGTGCCCACCCAATTAACCTCTTGCTAATTGCAGCCAGTGGTCTTGACTGTTCCTTGGGTTAGGGGTCTCCTCCTGAGGGAAGGACCACTCTGAGGGTCTTTCAGGGAGGGAGCCGGGAGCATGGAGGGAGAGAAACGCACGAGCGAGCACGCTAGGTAGCAGGAGCAGACGACCGGGTTTTTGTTTTTTTTTTTAAAGACAGGTTTCTCTGTGTAACAGCTCTGACTGTACTGGAACTTACTTTGTAGACCAGGCTGGTCTTGAACTCATCGAGATCCGCCTGCCTCTGCCTCCAGAGTGCCGGGATTACAGGTGTTCACCACCACCCAGCTGAAAATATATTATTTTTATCCTGATTATGTTTTTCCCCTCCCCAAACTCCTTTCAGTTCCTCCCCTTCTCCCCTCCCATCTGAATCCACCCCCTTTCTGTATCTCATTAGAAAATAAACAGGCTTCTAAGAGATAATAGTAAAATAAAACAAGATAAACAAAAATGAAGACATCGCAATAGGACAATATCAATAGACAGAAGGAAAAGAGGCAAAAAAAATAAGTAACAGATACAGACACAGAGACCTACTAATTTGCACTCAGGAATCCCATAAAAACAAAAACCAAAAGCCATAATGTATATTCAAAGGAATTGTGGGGTAAAGAAAGAAAAGAGTGGGGGAGAGGAGAAACTTAAAAATTAAAAAATAGATAAAGATGTTTTAAAAAGGAAGGATAGTCCAGAGTCAACAAGAGAAGGGGCCTGCAAAGCTGCTGGCCATCTGCTGCTGGGAATGAGGCCGACGCACAATAGTTAATGAGACAAAAGGAGAAAGGGTCCTGAAGTGAACTTTGCTGGAGGAAGTTTCTATAAACCCCAAGAGGGAGCAGAGAGACTCAAGAACAGAGCTGCAGGAATTGCCTGAGCAAGGATTCCCAGGAGGGCACAGAGAAGCAGGGGAGACAAGGAAACTCCAGGAGGGGGATAAGAACAAAAGGAGCAAGAATTTCAATCCCAAGCAGATTGGTCACAGAGGAGAAGCCCAGTAGGGCAACAGGAGCATCCTGACACACTGGTGTGGCTTAGTCAAAGCAGGCAACCCCAAGAAAGTGTCACCCTTACCCAATAGAGGAGAAAGTAGCAGAAGGACAGACTGGGAGAGGCTTTGGGGAAAGTGAGGGTTCCAACAGAGGGAGAAGGGAGAGTGTCTTAGAGAGATGCCCAAGTGGAGCATGGCAGGCAGGTGTCCCAGTCTCCTAGAGCTAGAGAGAAGCTTACCAGTAGGCAAGGAGAGACAAATGGTTAGAGCAGGTAGATAGAAGCAGCAGGAGAAGAGACAGACTCTAGAATTTAGAATCAAATTTGGTGTGTGGCAGAAGCCAGCAGAAACAAATGATCCACACATAGGAGACTCAGCAGCTTGGTTCAGAGAGGTGAGTCCCTTGGGGGAGCTCATGTATGCTATTCCTGGGTTTCAGCACCAGATGAAAGAAAAACTTAGGACATGACCACTCCTGGGTATGATAGAGGTTTTTGTTGTGGATAAGAGGAGAGAGCATCTAGAAGAGTCCAGACTGAACATGGCCAGCAGAATAGACTGCGCCATGGGGGGGGGGGGGGGGGAGCAAGAGGGCAAAGAGAAGACCAAGAGGCCAATAGCAGAGCCAAGAGAGCACGTAGCCAAAATTTCTGAAGCATATAGGAAAGAGAAGCTGGTGGAAGGGAAACATAGCTTGGGCTAGAGAGGTTTAGGGGAGGGGGAAGGGTGAGGAGTGTTGTGAGGAGCTAGGACTTTGCAAGAGGTGCTTGTGTGCCGAGAGAACCTATTGGCCAGTGTCCGCTTTGACATATTAAATAGGCACCTCAGTTAGCCATCTGTGGGGAGGGGTCTTTCAGACCTACAACACCCACCACAGAAAAACCCCGGTGGCCTTAGATGGCAGAGCATTCTAGAAGCCCCTGCCCAGCTTGGCTTCCCAAACCTTCTCATTGGTTCTTTGAGTGAAACCAGTCCCTTCGGGAAGAAATAGAGGTTCCAAGACAGCAACACGGGCAAGGCCACCTAGAGTCAATCCTGGTCAGGCATGTGCTCTGTTGGAATCAGTGCCCACCTAGCTGGGCCCTAGTCTCTCCACCAGCACTGAACTAAGCATTTTGCAAGTATTAATTCTTTCAACTGACATAATCATGCAGAGGCATGGCAATATGATCTCCCTACTTTACAAAGGTGCAAACTAAATCATGAAGCTGCTATGGAGGAGACAGAGCTAAAGGTAAGGCAAGAACAGCAATGGCACCAATGCAAACGTTAGAGGCTACGAAAACATTCCTAGGAGATTGAGCTATCATATTTTCATGCAATTTTTTAAAATCTGTATAGGAGATGGATGACAGTAAATTATGCCATGTAAGCATGAGATTCTGAGTTGGACCCCTAGAACCCTAGTAAAAGTGTGGCTGTACATGAAATCCTAGCACTGGGAAGTGGAGACAGTCAGAGTTCCTGGGGCTCACAGGGCAGCCAGCCTAACCCATGTGGAGAGCTCCAGGCCAGTGAGAGACTTTGCCTTAAAAACAAGGAGGATGTGCCAGGCAGTGGCTAACATGAGTTAAGCTGGCTGGACAGTGAACCCAGCACTTGGGAGGTGGAGGCAGGCGAATCTCTGTGAGTTCAAGGCCAGCCTGGTCCACAAGAGCTAGTTCCAAGACAGGCACCAAAGCTACAGAGAAACCTTATCAAAAAATAAAATAAGGAGGATAATGTCCATGGTAATTCAAATACATTTGGCCCACGTAAATTCAATGGAAGTGGCACCGTTAGGAGGCGTGGCCTTGTTGGAGGAAGCGTGGTCTTGGAGGAGGTTGGCTAACCTTTAATCCAGGCCACAATGTGTAGCAACCTTTGAGGTCTTTTTCTCAAGGTTCTCCCACTGTGATAGTCCACTTCCTATTGCCTCTGTCTAGATGTAAGCACTCTCTCAGCCCCAGTACCACATCTGCCTGCATGCCACCATGCTCCTACCATGAGGGACTAAATTTCTGTGAGCTATAAGCAAGCCACCCCAATTAAATGTTTTCCTTATAAGAGTTGCTGTGGTCATGGTGTCTCTTCGCAGCAATAAAAACCCTAAGACAATGCCTAACAGCTTATATTGTTTTCTGGCCTACACACATACATCACATACATACACACACGTGGTTCAGCAGGTAAAGGTGTTTACCGCACGTGCCTTACGGTTTGCATTCAATCTCCAGAACCCACACGAAGACCGCAGGAAAGAACCAGTTCCACCAGGTTGCTGTGTCCTCTGATCCCCCACACACTGGCTGTGGCACGCATTCACACATACATGCTAGTAGTAAAGCTCTTTTAGGTCACAGAATACAGGATCTACTGTGTGACTGTGGAGCTGAGATCTTGTTGGAACTCAGACTATGTACAGTATACTTGACAAACCAAGTATTTAAAAATCAAGCAGAATTCAAGGTCAGAGAAAATGTTTGGGCAAATCTGTCACTTGAAACTTCTCACCTGGAAGTGGAAACTGCCTGTCTCTAGGCACTTGTGTGCAGATCATCTGTGAAGTGGAAACTCCCTGTCTCTCGGTACTTTAACTCATATATGGGTAAAGAAAATAATATAGTGTTTCATTTCAGAAAATGACATTACAGGTCGTATTCATGCATCTAATTGGACACAGATGTTTGCTTGTTCCCTTGATTTAGAAAGACTTTACGATCCCATTTGCCATTGTTTTGTTTGCAAACCTATATAGCTAAAAGCTGAGTGCATAGAATACGATGTCAGAATGCCAGTTTTAACACAAGTTCCAAATGTGAACATATATTGGCAGTTATTGGCAGTTACTTCCAAATGAGCTTTTTTTTTTTTTAATGACTCTCCTACTCGGTTCAGAAATTAGGCAGACAAATTCCTCCTTAGGGCTCAAACTCTAGCAACTGACTAAAATCTAAGAGAAAGTTTCCTATTCTGTCTTTTTCCAGCTGGCTCCCGATTCCACCCCTAAAGACAATTGGGAAGCCGTCTGAGAAAAAGGCTGTCTCAAGTTCCCCTCCACAGTGTTCACTAAAGCTTTCCGTTAGGTGGAATAAAGTCTAAAGAATGAAGAAGGTGTTTCTGAAAGGGTCTCAGTTCCTACAACCCCCACGGCTCCACTAAGACCCAGTAAGTCAGCGAAACCACTAGTCCTCTGCTACCCTCTCCTGCATCCCTCGCCCCGCCCTCTGGTAACCTAGGTTACAGTCACGCCCTTCCTCTAGCTGACCAATCATAAGGGCGGCAGATACCGGACAGGGTTTGCCTAGCTTGAAGCTCCCGGCTGGTCGTTGGCTTTGAGCATCTGATCAGAAACGGAAGTGGACTCATTTCTTTCGAAGATGAGTTCCACTACTGTGGAAGTTCCGGAAGCGTGAGTGAGGAAGTTGCAAGCCAGGTTTTCCGGGTGGGGGGCGGAGACTCACCTGTCAGAGCAGGGGGAAGGAAGTCACTGGCTTCCAGCTGCAGGTGGGACCCCCACAGGTCACCCCGGCTGTCCTCGGGGCCGTGGTGCAGCCAAGACTTTAGGCGACCCCCAGGTGAGCGGCGACCAAGTGCACGCCGGTTAGCCGGCGAGGATGCAGCCCGCACCTGTGAGCATCCCGAGCTGCTGCCGCTGCGGCAGCCGCAACCACAGCGCAACCCGAGGACGCGGTGCCAGCGGCTGCTGAATTTTCCCCTGTAGAGAGCCAGAGGAGAAAGAAAACGAAGAGAACCCGCCAAAATCTCGGCTTGGTTCGTTTATTGAGCTGTTCAAAACTAATTTGTTTATTAAAAAGACCTGTAATGGGAACAACTGGAGGCCATGGATCCGATGCCTGCTCGTACTTATTTATGTAATTTTGATCCTCGTCTCTGTTTTCCTGTTTGTTTGGAATGCTCAAAAACTAAAGGTAGGTGGGTCCAGCACCTCTGCCCTATCCTACGCTAGTTGGCAGAATCCCTTTGTCTGCGCTGTCATGCTTGGGGTCTAAAAAACATTTTGTCTTTGAACATACTGACCCGTCTGATTTCATTTTGCCACTACAGCTGGAGGTGGGACCGGGTGGAGAAAATAGTTAAAGCTGCTTAGAATGCTTTGCCGATACCCATCAATTCCCAGATTGGGAAATCAGATATGCTGTACAGATATTGGTCTTAACCAGATAAAATAAACTACCTTGAAAGCTACATTCTGGATTTTAGAAGATCTTCCTGAAACGAAACGATTCCTGTTAGTTTGACTTGCTAATTAGTTTTACGTTTGAAGTTATGACTTTTATTTGTTTCTTTCTCTAATGGGATAAAGTCTCACGTAGACCATGCTCTTTGGAATTTGCCTTGTAGCCTAGAGAAATCCTCCAAGCACATTCTCAGCGCTTCTGATTATTGAACGCTGGGGATGGAACCCAGGGCTGTGTGCATTTGAGGCAAGCAGGCATTCTCCCATCTGAGCGACATTCCCAGACTTGAAGTTACTCTTCAGTAAGGGAAAAGTTTTACTAAAGTTCCTTGTGTATTCATTCTTTTCTTTCTTTCTCAGTCAAGGGAAAAGTTTTACCAAAGTTCCTTGTGTATTCATTTTTCCTTCCTTCCTTCCTTCTTTCCTTCCTTCCTTCCTTCCTTTCTTTTCTTAAATGTATTTGCTGGCGTATTTGTGGGATGGCCCAGTTGTGGAGGTCAAAGGACAGGCAAGTTGGGGGAGTTGGTTCTCTCCTTCCTTCTTGAGTGCTGAGTGAGGGCGGAGCGCAAGGGATCAGTGCAGTGTTGGAGGCCAGCACCTTAGCGCAGCCATCTCTCTGACCCACCCTTCATTATGTGTTGATGTCATGCTGTGACATTAGTAAAGCATTGGAAACTGGGTACCTAACATAGCCATAATATATGTATAAAGGGAACTTAGAATTATCGACTAATTAATTAATAACCAGAAAGTACTTTTATTGAGAAACACTTATTTTGGAAGAGTTATGACATACCATGTAGATGACCCCCCCTTTGATTGTGGAAAATATTTTAGTTAAACAATGTGTCTAGCCATATTTGTAGGGTGCTTTTGTTCACTAAACTTTTATTGGCTTATAGTCCATATAGCTAGTTCAGGCTATTAAACTATGACATTAAGTATTTCTCATTTGTTAAATTTTTAGGTTATTTGAAATTTGTTGTCCAAATTTGGGTATAGCAATCTTAATATAAATATAACTTCCTCATTTAGTGACTGCAGCGGTGGCTGTGGTAGCTTGTTTTTCCTGTCATGTGGTTTATGACTGCTCGACATGGAACTTTCCTCCTAGCGGCACTCTGTGAGGACACTTGGTCTGCATCAGTCCTTGGCACACACGGTGCTGGTCCTCACTCAGACACGATTCCGTGGGCAAAGATAGTATGGGAATGTTTTGTTTTATTCGAGGAGGGCTCTTTTGGTGTCCTGGAGCCTCCTCCTTGGACACACACTAAAGGTGTGTGCTCTCACACCCCTCTCACTCCAGGTCCAAGGACTCTAGCGCCCTCTTCTGGCCTCAGCAGATGCCCACACATGCACATACCCACACACAGACCCAAACATTCGTAGAAGTTTTTAAAAAGTAAATCTTTTAAAAAAATTGTTACTAATTATTTTGGAAATGCCAAGGAGAATTAGAAATCAAATGAAAACATAAGAAATAAAAATATTGATCTTTATAGTTTTAATATCAGAATCTAAACTAATGCGTTCTTTTGTCTTTCGAGGTTGGAATAAACACCGATCCATCCTTTATCGCGGGTGTCTTTATGATACTGACAATCTCTGTGTCCTTCTGGGGGATTGTGCACCATGTAATACATCATACAAAACCAGAACTTCAAAAACCTATTATAAGGTCAAGTCTTAATATATTTGCTACTACTAGTGTTGACTGACATAATTCATAAACATGATATTAAATGTTATTATATGTTTTACTTTCGATAGAATTCTTTGGATGGTCCCAGTATACAGTTTGAGTACCGTAAGTATATTTTATTGTATTGTATTAAGAATTTTTGGGCTGGAGAGATGGCTCCTCTCTCTCTCTCTCTCTCTCTCTCTCTCTCTCTATTTTTACATAGGGTCTCACTGTGTTTCTGGCTGTCCCGGAACTCACTCTGGAGACCGGGTTGACCCTGAACTTACAGAGGGCTCCCAGTTTTTTGACAGAGGTTTCTGTCTCCCCCAGTCCTACAGCTGTTCAGTCCCAAAGAAACACACAGAACTCTACATTAATTATGAACTAGTTGGCCTATTATCTCGGGCTTCTTATTAACTCATCCTTATATCTTACATTAGCTCGTAATTCTTGTCTGTGTTAGCCACATGGCTCACTACCTTATATCAGTGAGGCCAGTTTCATCTTGTTTCCTCTGCAGCTGAGTGAGGACTGCAGACTGAATCTTTCCTCTTCCCAAAATTTTCCTGTTCTTGTCGCCCCACTTATACTTCCTGCTTTATTAAAATACAATTGACAGGGTGCAGACCATTGTCCCACAGCACCTGTCTGTCTCACTAGTGCTAGAATTAAAGGCATATAGCACTGCAACTGGCTAAGCTCACTTTTTTTAATGTTGGCAAAGAATGTAATGAAAAATGAAGCTGTTTCAAATGTTTTTAATGTGTAGCTCTTTTCCTACGATTGTATTAAAGACAGTTGTAGGCATATTGCAAGGATGTATTCTCTCACCACTACTCCTTAATATATGCTTGAAATTAATAATAGTGACAGCCCTGGAGGCTGAGGAGATAGTGGTGCAGATAAGAGAACCCCCATGAGTTCAAGACCAGCCTGGTCTGTATAGTGAGTTCCAGAGTGCAGACCAGGGGTCAGAGGCTGTTTTACAGGTATCTGCTCCAGGGTTGGCTGAACCCATGGATGCAGATTCTCAAGGATCACTATCATGCCTTCCCGTTATTATTTTGTCACCTCACCCCCCAAAAGAGGAGAAAAAGGAAAGGACAAAAGACTTTCCACAGTGGATGTAACTACTCTGGTGGTTAGATATAAAGAAAATGGCTTTAGCCATGTGTTGCATCCCTTTAATCCCATCCCTCAGGTGGAATTCTGTGAGTTGGAGGCCAGCCTGGTCTACCTAGTGAGTTCCATACTATCTGGGTTACATAGACCCTGTCTGAAAAAAAAAAAGAAAGAAAGAAAGACACACACACAGATGTCTTCAGGAGCATTTTCTTTTTTTTTTCTTTTTCTTTTTTTTCTTTTTTTGGTTTTTCGAGACAGGGTTTCTTTGTGGTTTTGGAGCCTGTCCTGGAACTAGCTCTTGTAGACCAGGCTGGAACTCACAGAGATCCGCCTGCCTCTGCCTCCCAAGTGCTGGGATTAAAGGCGTGCGCCACCACTGCCCGGCTTCAGGAGCATTTTCTGTGATCATTTTTTTCCACTTAATTTCAGATAATTTGTGAATGCCATTAATTTTCTTTTTATATTCCTTATTTATCCCAGCACTTACCTGTTTTGTTAGCTGTGTTGAAACTGCTTGTTGCACATCAAGGCATGTGTTACAGGGTTGGGGATGCAGCTCAGTGATGGAATGCAGCCTTGCATTCCCTGGCCTCCTCCCCAAGTGAATCCATTCTGGATTATGGTAGTTTGCAGCAAGCATGGGACGTGATCTCCAGGCTCTAGAGTTAGCGTCTATGAGTAGGGTGAATTCACGTTATGTCAGTGACAGGTCTTTAACATCTTGTTTTCTCATAGTGGTCAGCTTTGAAGTATCCCCATTGCGCCATCTACGTGGACACCTTGAGGGAGTGCTACGAAGCTTATGTTATTTACAACTTCATGTTATTCCTTAACAAGTATGTAGCAACTCAAATCCCCAACTTGGTGCTCCACCTGGAAGCTAAGGATCAACAAAAGCTTCTCTGTCCTCTGTGCTGCTGTCCACCCTGGGCTATGGGAGAGTAAGTATGTTTGTCTTTAATGGGCCTCCGCGTGGGCTTTCAGTATCAGTCAGCTGTTTTTATTGATTGTTGTTTTGTTTTCTTTTTATGTTGTGAGTGATCACTCTAGTAGAAAAGTTCATCAGTGTATTGTAGGAGAGAACATTAGAAAACATTAAGTCAGCATCCTTTTTACAGCTGGGTATAGGAGCCTCTATGATCTTGTCTGTGATCACACACTAATTGTCTCACTGCTGGGACAAAATGACTGCCAAGAGCAATGAAGGAAGAGAGTTTGTGGGGCCAGTCCATTGTGGTGGGAAGGTGTGCGGCCGGTGCACCTGCTGTCTGGAGGCTGAGGAAAGCCGGAGCTCAGCTCACCGCCTCCTCTGTGCAGTCTGGGCCACAGCCTGGAGAATATGCTGCTAATATCGATGGCTCCCTTGTCCCAGGAAATCTTTCTGTGAACACATTCTTACATATGCACAGGTATATATGCACAGTTGATCTGTGCCTCAGTTTCTCTCCTGGAGTGTGTGTGTGTTAGAGTTTTCATTGTCACTTCTAGCAAAATTTCTGAGATAATCGGGTTTATTTGGACTGTTGATGAGATCATTGGGTCCTATTGATTTGAGGTATATCATGGCAAGAGTGGGAAACAAGAAAAGACCAAGGTCCCAGTACTTTCTAATCCTTCTGTTCCGCGCCTTGTAAATGATTTCAGTTTGGAGGCTTTGAGATGCTCTGATGCCACTGAATAGTTGAGCTTTGGTGTTCTCTTCTCTTGCAGAATACTATTATTTCGCTGCAAGCTGGGAGTGCTTCAATACAGTGTGGTTAGATCGATCACCACTGTGACAGCTTTGTAAGTGTGACCTTTCTGGAGCTGGGTTTTTTTTTATCTTCTTGATACATGCCAGGGAATATAGCTCAGTTGATAAGAGTGTTTGCTTTGTATGCACAAAGCCTTGGGTTTAATTCCACAGAAACCAAGTGTAGTGATTCATGGCAAATAATCCTAGCACTTGAAGGTAGAGTCAGGAGAATTGAGAGTTTAAGGTCAGACTGGGCCCTATCTTAAAAAAATAATTTATGTTTTTAAATGGGAAAAAACAAGAAGAAAATCAATGTTGATTAATAATGTAAATCCATATATAAAATCTGGATTCTATTACAGTGAACAGTATAAGAATTGTTAGGAGATTCACATCCTTTTGAGAGCAGACTGTAAAACACAAAAAATAAAATCTCCTTTGGGTTAACCACACAGATTTATTTTCTACCTTGTTAAGAGTTATTAGGAGCCGGGCAGTGGTGGCGCACACCTTTAATCCCAGCACTTGGAAGGCAGAGGCAGGAGGAGCCCAGTGAGTTCAAGCCAGTCTGGTCTACAGAGTGAGTTTGAGGACAGCCAGGACCACACAGAGAAACCCTGTCTCAAAAAAAAAAAGTTTATTGGGAGCACTGTCTTTTACTGGTGCCACCTTTCATCCCAGCACCGAGGAGGCAGAGGAAGCAGATCTCTGGGAGTTTGAGGCCAGCCTGGTCTACATAGACGGAGTCTCAAACACAGACAAAAACCATTTGATGTCAAAATATGAAACATAATGAAACTACCTCAGAAACGTTCCCTTAAAAAAATCCAAAGTGTCAATTTATATGATTCCTCTGTTAGACCTCAAAGTTCTGCAGCTCACAAAGTAAAGACAGCCACACTGAAACAAACCAGGTCAGCTCTTTATTCTGCCCTTGAGCTGGAGCGCTTTATGGCTTATGCTTTGTTTGCTGCTTAGAAACCGGATGAGCGCATAACCCAGTACTTGTGCTAAAAATTACTTTCGGGGAGGGGGGTGGGGGAACTGGGTCTGCAGATACGCATCTGCCAGGTAGTTTACAGGGAAAAGGTGAGCTGGGATCAATGTTTATCTGTCACTCTTTCCAAAATCAGATACGCATCTGCCAGATAGTTTACAGGGAAAAGGTGAGCCGGAGTCAATGTTTATCCATTACACTTTTCAAAATCAGGCCTTGTCTTCTGGAGTTAGTGATGATTCTCTAGTTCAATGACGCTGAGTTTGTCATTCCTTTAAGGTAGAAGGAATAATCATATCATACTCATCTAGAAGAATGTCCTCTGTCCGGGACCAGAGTCAAGAGATGATCCATAGCGATGCTGAAGTAAATGGTCTCGGAATTCTTAAGTGTGTGTTCAGGGCTGAGAGCACGCAGTGGTTAAGAGCACCCCGAACTCCTGCATAGGACTCAGGTTCAGTAACATCTAGGGCCAGCGTGGCCAGCACCCTTTTCTGGCCTCCAAAGGCACTTGCACACACATTGTGCACAGGTCTGCATGCAGTAGAACATTCATATACATAAAATAAGTCTCTAAAGGAGACCTATTAAGATATGGGTTTGCTTGGTTAGTCCTAACGTTGAGTTTTGCCATTTTTAAGGACCTGTGAGATTGTTGGTGTCTACGGTGAAGGGACCTTTAGTTTCCACAACCCTTGGACTTACTTGTTTATAGTAAATAACGTGTCAGAATACGTAAGTAAATCATCATTCCCCATAGCTATACTAAGTTAGTTTCTGTTGCTGAGTGTTATCAGGCACTTTTCTTGAGAAAAAATATTACCTTTTCATTTGTACATGGAACTTGAAACAGCTTTAATGTATATAAAAGTACAGTAATGTGTTCATGAAGGATTTGGGGACTACATGCACACCTGTTTGCCCTTGTTACCGCATAGCTGTGGGTAAAAGCATCGTGTGCTTCTTGTTTTGTTTTGTTTTTTCGAGACAGGGTTTCTCTGTGGTTTTGGAGCCTGTCCTGGAACTAGCTCTTGTAGACCAGGCTGGTCTCGAACTCACAGAGATCCGCCTGTCTCTGCCTCCCAAGTGCTGCATCGTGTGCTTCTAAATGAGAAGAACAACACAGTCAGCCTGTTCAGTTGGAGGGAACGTCTAATGGTACAAAAGGATAAAGTTTAAATAAAAATGGAAGGATTCATCAGGCAGTGGTGATACAGTCCTTTAATCCCAGCATAAAGGCAAATCTCTGAGTTTGAGACTAGCTGGGTCTACAGAGTGAGTTCCAGGACAGCCAGGGCTACACAAAGAAACCCTGTCTCAAAAGAAAAGAAAGAAAAAAGAGAAAGAAAGAACTCAATCGCCAGGCGGTGGTGGCACACGCCTTTAATCCCAGCACTCGGGAGGCAGAGGCAGGCGGATCTCTGTGAGTTCGAGACCAGCCTGGTCTACAGAGCTAGTTCCAGGACAGGCTCCAAAGCCACAGAGAAACCCTGTCTCGAAAAACAAAACAAAACAAAACAAAAAAAAAAAAAAGAAAGAACTCAATCATCTAGTCTGTATTTAGAATTAAAGGAAAATAAAGACTGAAGTTTTTTTGTTTTGTTTTGATTTTTCTCTGTGTAACAGTTCTTCTAGCTGTCTTGGAACTTGCTTTGTAGACCAGGCTGGCCTCAAACTCACAGATTTCTGCCTGCCTCCACCTCCCAAGTGCTGGAATTAAAGGCATGCACCACCACTGCCCTGCCAAGACTGAAGTTTTAAAAAAATATGGGTGCTGGTGTAGGAACTTAAGGGCTATAAGGAGTGTCTTTGGGTGGTGCTTCCCACAGTGTAGTAACTGAAATACAGTGACCCACACACAGTGTTGGAAGTTTATATTGGTTCTGGGCGTGGCAGCGCATGCCTTCAATCCCAGTAGGTGCGAGGCAGGGGCAGGTGAATCTGAGTGTGAGGCCAGTGTGGTCTACAAAGTGAGTTCCAGGACAGCCAGTGCTACACAGAAAAATCCTGTCTCAAAACACCCAAAACAAACAAAACAATTTTTAATGGAAATAAATGTGGTATGTCTCCAGAGATTTCCCTCGTGTTTGCCTTCATGACCTGATGGAGGAAGGTCATTGGTTAAAAAAATAAAGAAACTGCTTGGCTGGCCCTCATAGGTTAGAACACAGGTGGGTGGAGAAAACAGAACAGAATGCTGGGAGGAAGAGGAAGTGAGCTCAGACTCGACAGCTCTCCTCTCGGGAGCAGACGCCTCAGAAGAGATGCCATGTCCAGCTCCCGGGCAGACACACGCGATGAAGCTCTGACCCAGGATGGACGTAGGCTAGAATCTTCCCGGTAAGACCGGTGCTCACAGATTATTAGAGATGGGTTGATCCAGATATCAGAATTAGCCAGTAAGGGCTAGAGCTAAAGGGCCAAGCAGTGTTTAAAAGAATACAGTTTCCGTGTAATTATTTCGGGTAAAGCTAGCTGTTCGGGCGGCCGGGTGCGGGGACGCAGCCCCGCCGCTCTTATTACTACAATGACCCATAGTCCTTTTTCTGGAAATATAGTCTAAAGAAATGGTCAGAAGTGCTTTTGCCTTCTGGGATGTAATACCCATGATAAGAAAGGACTGGAAACGCTCTTCATTGTGGGCATAGTTTGTTCTTCCCATTGGCATTTAGATAGATTTTCAAACACACAAAAGTTAGCTACTTTTAGTTGAAAACAATATTGGGGAACAAAAATATTTTAGGTCATGACATATGTTAGAAAATTGGGTTGTGACTGGTGGAATATGGAGTGTTTGCCTAGCACACATAGCCCTGGGTGTGATCCCAGCTTAACAGGGTAACAGTTCCTATGTACAGAGAAATCGCTCAGTACCGAGAGTCAGTTTGTTTTGGGTTTTTTTGGTTTTTGTTGTTGCTGTTGCTTTTGAGTTTTTGAGACAGGGCTTCTTCATAGTTTTGGAACCTGTTGTGAAACTTGGTCTTGTAGACCAGGCTGGCCTCGAGGTCACCGAGGTCCACCTGCCTCTGCCTCCTGAGTGCTTGTATTAAAGGTGTGTGCCACCACCACTAGGCCCTCAATTTCTTTTTTAACAGTACTGAAGCTAGAACCCAGGGCCCGTGAGTGTAGGACACGCATCTTGCTTGGCCCTGACTCCACTGCAAGGATCTGAAGAAGGGTCCTTACTGCTTTCCTGTCCTGGAGTAGTTTAAATGAGTATAAAGTGTCTTATCATTTTAATGGGGAAAGTAAGAATTCAGAGATGCTTCTTGCTGTTGAAGTCCTGGTTGGTTTTTAGAACTGACTCTAAAGAAGTCAGGCCAGCTAGACTAACAGACTGCTCTCAGGGAAATTTGTATGATGTAGATTTCATGATCACAATTTTATTGAAACTGTACTTATCTAATGTGTTGATTTATAAACCATGTGTGTTGTGTAAATGTTACACAAGAGACTAGCTAATAATAATAATAATAATAATTGAGTTTTTATAAAAGTAACGGTAATTTGTGTTTAAAAGCTTAACAGGTATGTTTCCCTTTTGACTGAAGGAAATCTTTTATTCTGTTCATGTCATTTGTTTTTTGCTTGAGTTACAGTATGTGAATACTTAGAAACATTTTCAGGAAAAATGGTACATATGTCCCCAGAAATTTCATATATATATCTCTACAGCAACATAGTAAAAGCACTAAAACATTGACTAATCAGCCTTAAGTTCCACCTGGAATGTTCCTGTAGAGCAGGCTCTGGTTCGGCTTTAAGAGTCAGTCCCTGTCTTCCTACTGCGGAATGATGAATGTTGCTTTTGTTTCTAGTTTGCCCTGTACTGCCTCTGGCTGTTTCATCAAGTGCTGAAAGAAGAGCTCAGCCCTATACAACCTGTTCGCAAATTTCTTTGTATCAAACTGGTAGTCTGGCTCTCATTCTGGTAAGTATTGCGTGCTCTTAAATATTCTTTCTTTATAAATGCCAATAAAACTGTTGTTTAAGGGAGTTTTTTACAGTAATGTGAAGACAATGCCAGACTCAGTGGTCCCAGCCCTTGGGAAACTGAGGGAGGACCACCAGTTCAAGGCCAGTCTGAACTAGGCAGACGTCTTTGGGCTGGAGAGAGGCTCAGCAGTTAGAGTTTGCGCATATCCAGAGGACCAAAGTTTGTCCCCAGCAGCCATATATGGCGACTCACAACCTCATGCCACTCTAGTTCAAGGGACCTGAAGCCCTCTTCTGACCTCTGTGAAACATGCACATACTTGCACAGTCTCAGTCTCTTCTCCCCTCCCTCCACCTCTCTCTCACACACACACGAAATTTTTTTTAAAGATTTATTTATTTATTATGTATGCAACATTCTGCCTCCATGTATGCCTGCAGGCCAGAAGAGGGCGATAGATCTCATTACAAATGGCTGTGAGCCACCATGTGGTTGCTGGGAATTGAACTCAGGACCTCTGGAAGCCCTTAACCACTGGTCTCTCCAGCCCCTGAATTTTTTTTAAACCCGTCCATTTAACTTTTGTAAGATTTACAAAAACAGGGCTGGAAAGATGGCTCTGCAGATAAGAGCCCTTGCTATTCTTTCGGAGGATCTGGGTTGAGTTCCCAACACCAACAAAGTTAGTGGTCACAACCCTCTGCAATTTCAGATCCAGGTGATTCTAATGCCCTCTTCTGGTATCTGCAGATACTCTACTTGTATACACATATGCAGGCCAAACTCACACAAAAATAAATATTAAAAAATAGCTTTTAGAAATATGTTTAAAACACAATCTTAGTCCTGTGTGGTGGTATATACCTGTAGTCCCAACACTCAGGGTAAACCAAGAGAATCTCATTGAGTTTGATGACAGCCTGCTCTCTATAGCAAGTTGTAGATTAGCCTATGCCACCGTGTGTGATCTTGTATCTAAACAATCAAAGAAGTAGTCAGACGGCCACTATGACATTTAAAAGATGAAGATAATTTGAGATAGCCTAACTATCTTGATACCACCGTTAAAATTATAGTTCTGCTGGGTGTGGTAGTGTACCCTTTAATCCCAGCACTCCCCGGGGAGGCAGAAGCAGGTGATTCTCTATGAGTTCAAGGCTAGCAGGGTCTACATAGCAAATGTGAGGCCAGTCAGAGGTACATAGTGTGACCCTGTCTCAAAATGAATAAAATAAATTGCTTAAAATTATGATTGTCATGAATAAAACAGTGTTAGTTTAGGAGAAGACATTTAATGGCTTGGGGGAAATGTTTATCAGTGTGTGTCCTTTAAAATACAAGGTAGGGATGGAGATACATTTGAGTGTCTGCATAGTGTATACAAGGCCCTACTGTCTGTCCTCAGTGTCACAAAGCAAGCAAACAAACCTAGACATGGTGTTAGATTAGTAACAGGCTAGGTAATAAGACTTACATAGACAGACCTATCCAGTTTAGCAGTTCAGTAACAGGAAAAGAGAAAAATTCATGGAACTGCACTGCCAGAGCAATAATTAGCATCTGAGGGCACACATCATGTGCTGTCTTCTACAGACGTAATTTATGCTAGAAAAACTTCTGGAACTCAACAGTATTCTAATTCAGATAACCCTTAAACTGGCAGGATAGCTCAGCAGGGAAAGGCCCTTGCTGTGCACACCAAAGAATTGAGATTGATCCCCAGCACCCTTGTAAAAGCAGAAGTAGAGAACACAGCTGCCCTCAGAAACCCTGTCACACTCAGTGATCATAAAGGGAGGGGGAATAAGACAGAGTAGTAGAGCCGTGGCATGGGTCAGTAGGAAGAGAGGCTTGCCTTTGCCAAGCCTGACGAGGGGAGTTCCACCCAAGAGCTACATTAGATGGAAAGAAATGGCGCCAGCGGGTTGTCCTCCGATCTCCCATACACGGCCGAAAATAAATAGTAATTTTTTTGATCCTAGTAATTATCCAGGTGTGATGGCACGTGCCTTTAGTCTCAGCACTTGGGAGGCAGAGGTGGCCAGATCTCATGTTCAATGCCAGGTTGGTCAACATAGCAAGTTCTAGAACAACCAGAATTGCATAGAAAGACCCTGTATCTAAATAAATAAATAATAAAATAAAGTCTTAGTATGCACATGTAAACACACTGTTAGAACTCAGAATCTAATTATTTGTACATGGTTTCAGAACAAAAAAAATATATAAATCAATGTTGTTCTGAGAATATATAATGAAATTCATCTTATGAAACTAATACATTTGAAAGGCAAGGTATGTATATTTAATGTAAACACAGTTTGTTTGGGAATATGTCCTGAAGGCAGGATAGTTTGTAGTCCTAGGATACACTGAGGCTTTAACTGTTTGTGGTTGCGTATTTTAATCTTTTTGTGTATATGTTATGTGTTTATTGTAAGTGGGAACATGCCCGTGTCATGTGTGCATGTGGAGATGAGCTTTGGGTGTCCGTGTCTTGCATTGAGGTGGGGGTCTCTTAATTGTTCACTGTACACACACAAGGCTTGCTGGCCTGCGGTCTTCCCCAAACTGTGTCCCACCTCTCAGTTCCCCTCAGGAATACTGGTTTACGTGTGTGTGCTACATGCCAGCCTTACCTGGGTTCTGTGCTTCTCACTTAGGACCTTCCTCACACTTGCACAACAAGCGCTTTGCCTACCGAGCCACCTCCCTAGCCCCTAATTGCATAAAACAGCCGGTCATTTCATGATTTAGATTTGACATTTACCTCTTCTTGACATCTAGGCAAGAAGTAATTATTTTTGGCCTGGCTAAAGCTGGAGTATTTTCGCACAATCTAAGATGGGGATGGCAAAGTCCTGAAGCTGCGGCCATAGGCCTGCAGGTAAGTAGGGCTGTCTTTGAACTCGGGGCGGGGGGGTACTGTTTAAGGTATTTAATGCAGTGATGCCCAGAACCTGCCAACGTGCAAACAGTGGGCAAGACTGCTAGCTTACTCTGTAGTGAGGAGCGAGAACCCGAGAGAAACGGCCCATAGGGACTGATGGGTACTGATTGTATTCCTGGTCCGCTTATGTCTGCATGGTTCCTTTCTGTGCTTGTGTAGTGCATTGAGAAATTCTTGAGTGAGGGAAAGCAAAAGAGATGCAAATCTTGCTTGTCATGTTATGAAGTGGGGAAAAATGTTGAAAAGGAATATAATCTGGATTATATTTCAAAGTTACTGACACTCTAAGTAACTTTGAAAAGTTAGCAATTTGAAAAATTAGATCGAAGCCCAAAGATGTCTGATATTTGTGTGGCTGTTGTAGGATTTCATCATTTGTATTGAAACGCTCATCGCAGCACTGGCCCACCACTACTTTTTCACGTATAAACCTTACGTGAAAGAGGGAGAGAAAGGCACATGCATCCACTCCTTCCTCGCCATCTGGGACGTCTCCGATATTAAAAGTGACATTTCTGACCAAATGAGACGTGTCAGTAAGTAACAGCTGTTTAACTTGTGTTAGTGTAAGTGTGTATATTGGGAAGGTAGGTTTGTGTGTGTGCACATGGGGTCAGAGATGAACCTTAGGTGTGGTCCCTCAGGATGTTCAGCTTGGGTTTTGGAACAGGGTCTCTCGTTGTCCTGGGGCTCAGAGATTCAGCTAGGATGGCTGACCAGAGAGCCTCAGGGATCCTATCTCTGCCTTGCTAGCACGGGGACTACAATATGCCCAGCTTTGTACCCGTGGCTGAGGATCGAACTCAGGTCCTCATGCTTGTGTGGCATCCTGACCCAAATCCGTAAGATAAGGTCATTTACTCTAGTAATTTAAGAAATGAGAAAATATGGAAAGCAGCGCCATGATACAGGCTCTTCAGATTTGGGGAAGACAAAGGGGGGGAAGGGAGTGGTTATAGAATTATGTATACAATGGTAAAAATAACTTTTGGATATTAATTTTATATTGTCTTATAGGAAGAACCGTGCGGGGTTATCCCAAACAAAAATGTTTTCCGGAAGACCCAGAGCACACTGAATACACAAGTCTCCTTTCTACAACACCAAGTGATGCAAGTTCTTCAGGCTCAAGGTCATCCTCATCCTCACCCCTCGGTATCGATGCTTTGGACAGACAATCACTGTTGCATTCCATCTCTCGGATCAGGACATCCAAGAGAAGACGTTTGCTTGGACTTCCCACAGGGCAGGGAACCCCGATTGCTCTTTGGACTGATGGGGGGAGGGGGAGGGAAATGGGAGGCGGTGGCGGGGAAGAGACAGAAATCTTTAATAAAAAATAAAATAAAAAAAGAGGAGCAGGACCCTCCTGACGATCCAAACTTGGAGTCTTCCCAGGACATGCTCTCTGAAGACCAGCTGTTTGAAGAAGCCATCAATTACATGCCCAGACGAGCAGAAGAAGCTCAAGCCTACACAAAACAATAGGCAACTGAGGAAAACTGGAAGTAGATGTTGTTCCTCTTGCGAAACTACAGCTCCCAGCATTCCCCTGGACTACGGATCAAGCGCAGGACACCTTTCCCAGAAGCCTTTGCATTCCTTCTTAAAAGGTGAGGGTCGCCACGACCCCCTCCCTCCCCCCCCCCCCCCCCCCCCCCCCCCCCCCCCCCCCCCCCCCGCCTCTCCTTTCGTTTCTGCACGCCTGTGCCTTACTTGTCGTTACCCCCTCCCCCATTAAGTGCACCCACGTGGGACCACCGCGTGTCTGTGTCTCCTTTCCCCGCATGACGTCTTTACCCTTTAATCCCGCAGACAAGAAAGCCAGAAATAAGAACAACAAATGGTGCCACCGTCGACTCGGTAACCCTTCCGTTCTGGTACCTGGGGCCCCGGCCTCTGGGCTCCCTGCCGCCTCCCGGAGCTCGGGCCTCACCGGAACAAGGTTTGAACCGACAACCCGACTGCCTCCACCTGTTTACCACAACACCGACTGATTTGTGAGTTCACCTGAGTTGGCTTGCCTTCCTCCTGGGCGCTCAGAGACTGTCCGGCCGGCTCTCTTTGGCACATCCTGGGTAAGGTTGCCGACTCCCCTCCACCCCCCCCCCACCCCCCCCCCACCCCCGGCCTTCTGCCCTCGGCTACAACCTGCCTCCATCCGCGCCTGGAAGTTCAGTGCTTCCAGCTTCTCCCTCTCTTTTTCTAATCTTTTTCTGTCTTCTTTATGGCCCCGCTGCGGAGCGGTTGCCTCCGGGCTGTACGATCAGCCCCCCAAAAGCTTAATTGTCTCCTCCCAGCCGGGGCTTTCCCCGTCAGTAGCTGGGTTCGGGTCGATTGAGCAATAACACGCCCCCTGGGTACACGGACACCTGTACTCAGGGCTGCCGTGTTCACGATACTTCCTGGTACCTTCTGCGGACAGGCTCACATTTCTAGCCATGGGCTCCAAGCCTTCTAAGACAATTCCCCCATCCTCTCCTCTTGGGCAGCTTCTGGAAGCTCTCAAACCTCACGCCCTGATTCCCTCCGTAAAACTATCTACGTTAATCCATCTGTGCTCCAAGACTTGGCCAAAGTACAATTTACAGGGTTCCTTCCGGTGGCCTTCTCAGGGTTCATTTGACCCCGACATTCTATGGGAATTGGCCAATTTTTGTCACCAGTCAGCTAAATGGAAAGAAATGATGTACATTATGGCATTCTTTTATATGGCCCTAAAGACTGACCCTTCCGCCTCTTCCCACTGCTCACCTGCCCACATGTTCTTAGCAATGCCATCCCTCCAGGAACCATCTGCTCCCGCCATGGATCCAGAGGATGATCCTCCACCCCCCCGACCTTGAGGGACCACCCCTTCCCGCCCTGCCCAATCGGGCGACACCTCACCTATCCCTCTTTCTTCAAAAGTTTCTTCTAGGCACAGAAAGGACTTGCCTACACCTTCCCCCCATGACGCCTCTAAACGTTTCATTCCTAGGTCTCCAGGAGTCCCACATAAATATTCTTCTGGGTCACCTACCCACTCCCCTAAATCCCCGAGAAAGTCCCGTTCCCCCCGTTCCAGATCTCCTAGTCTTTCCGACCCAGCCTCACCCCACTTTTCCCGCAGCAGGTCGCGCAAACAGCTAAAAATTTCCTCTCGCCACAGGACATGCAGACTGTGGGAAGCATCTTCGGATTTCTCCGGGTCACCTCCCCGCCCTACCCCGCCCCCTCGATCTTCCAAAGCCCCCTCAAGCTCTAACCCCAACCGCCACCTTGCGCCTTCCTTCACCCCTCTGCAGCAGCGGCGTCTGGCCCTGATCAAGTCGAGCCGGCCGCCATTCTGCCCCTGCGGGAGGTGGCTGGCACGGAGGGCCTGATGAAAGTCCACGTTCCTTTCGCTTTATCGGATCTTTCACATATTTCTAAGTTACTCGGGTCATACACAGCTGACCCCACTAATTTCACAAAAGAATTTCAATATTTAACCCAATCTTACAACCTAACTTACCATGATATTTATATGATTCTCTGTAATAACCTACTTCCCGAGGAGCTCAGGTGGGTCTGGGAACAAGCTAGGCTGCACGCTGATGATGTTCACCAAACCCTGGCCTCCCATCCTCCGGGGGCAGAGGCAGTGCTGGACCAGGAACCCCACTGGGATTATAACTCCCCCGGGGGCATTCTGGCCAGAGACCGATTCCTAACTTGCCTCATAGTGGGGCTTCGTAAAGCTGCTCTCAAACCAGTAAACTATTCTAAACTCACAGAAATTTTCCAAGACACTAAGGAAAATCCCTCTGCATTTCTTGACCATCTTACTAAAGCTATGTTACAGTTCACAAACATGGATCCAGAATCCACGGAGGGCAGACAGCTCCTGATGACCCATTTTGTCAGTCAATGCTACTCAGACATCAAGGCAAAGCTCAGACGTTTGGAGAAGGGTCCCCTAACCCCACAGGCACAGATCCTGGAGGTGGCTTTCAAGGTGTACCACGCGAGAAATGACAAGGCCGGGAATCACTGCCACGTGATAACTGCACCCGCCGGCCAGCCAAGGAGATAAGCTGCCAAGCTTAAAGACACCGGGTTCAGCCCCCTCTACTCCAGTCTAAGGAAAACAGTGGTTCCTTCCGTCGCTGTGTTAACACACCCTCCCTTCTTTAAATTCATAAATAACCATCCAGCTGTCGTTACAGATACCATCATCAAATACGGAGTCAAGGGCTCAGGCGGTAAGCAGATTCTCAACAAAGCTCCTTGACATAACAGGTCAGCCGCTGACTGCAGCAGTGGCCCCTGAAATGTTAAGGAATATACGGTTAAAATCTATTTCTTTTAAGACACTTTCTTTAAGCTCCAGGCCGCCAGCCCGACCCACCTAAACAAATCAAACACAAGCGGATCATTAACGGAATAAGTATCATTTAATTTTTATCGTTCTTAACCCCAGACCTCCTAAGATTCCCCCACCCCGGATCTCCCCTTAACCTCCTCTCCCCTTTAATTTTTTTCCTCTCTACTAATGCGACTTTTGTCTTCCAGCATCTTAACGATGACCCAGCTACTCAAAAAAAGCCAGACAGATGCGATTTCTTCAATCAGCCACGACCTCAGACGCCAGTGGACAGGACATCAGCCACCCCAGACGCCAGTGGACAGGACACTAGCCACCTCAAACGCCAGCGGACAGGATATAACCAACAAAATATCGCCAGAATAATCGGACACTCCCTGAATCCCTCGACGCCCAAAGCCAGCAGGAAGCAGTCATGAGAGACCGGGCTACGCCCCCATTCCCTACCCTTTAAGCCCCCCCCCCAATTTTTTTAATAAAACCAAAAGGGTAAAATGTTGTTCCCCTTGCGAAACTACAGCTCCCAACATTCCCCTGGACTACGGATCAAGCGCAGGACACCTTTCCCAGAAGCCTTTGCATTCCTCATTAAAAGACGAGAGTCGCCACGACCCCCTCCCTTTCCCCCCCCCCCCCCGCCTCTCCTTTCGTTTCCGCACGCCTGTACCTTACTTGTCGTTACCCCTCCCCCATTAAAGTGCACCCACGTGGGACCGCCGCGTGTCTGTGTCTCCTTTCCCCGCATAACGCCTTCACCCTCTAACCCCGCAGGCAAGAAAGCCAGCAAATAAGAACAACAGGAGAGGGCTTTTTTTTTTTCTTAAAAAGCACAATAATAATTGGTTGTCTAGTTTCAAATGGTCAACTCCTAAAAACAGGTGGGTTCCAGGACTGAACTCAGGTCATCAGACTTGCCTAATGGGTGCTTTTACTCACTGAGCCATCTTGCCGGCCCTTTTCTGATGCTGTTGCTGTTTGTTTTAGCTTTGGGTAAGAACTAGGCTATTGTAGGTTGCCTCAGGCTGGCCTCAAAGACCTGGGCTCAAGAGATCCTCCTACCTCAGCATCCAAAGTAGATATATATATATATATATATATATATATATATATATATATGCCACTATACTTACCTTATTTTATGTATATGTATGTTTTGCCTGGATACAGATCTATGTCTCACCTGAGTACATTGTACTCAGAGGTCAGAAGAGGGCATTGGATCCTCCCCTGGAACTAAAGTCACAGTTACTGTGAGCTGCCCTGTGGGTGCTGGGAGCCAAACTCAGGCTCTCTGGAAGCCACGTATGGTCTTAACCACTATGCACTCTAAATTTAAAAAAAATAATAATAATAGGGGCTGGAGAGGTGGCTCAGAGGTTAAGAGCACTGTCTGCTCTTCTAGAGGTCCTGAGTTCAATTCCCAGCAACCACATGGTGGCTTACAACCATCTATAATGAGATCTGGCTCCCTCTTCTGGCAAGTATATGCATAATAAATAAATAGTAATAATAATAATAAAATGAAATAAAAATTCATTCTCTTTCCTCTTTTAGCTCCTCAAGTTGCATTTATCTTAAGCTCAAAGTTGTTCTATAGTTACTGAACCTTCAATCTGGGCTTTTTCTCTGTGTATTTCATTTAGGTGATGTCTTTGCTGGGTATTAAAGATCCTTATTGGCATCTAATTGGCTGTTCACTGTATCTAGGTATCCCAGGCATTGTAACTTTTATTTCTAGAAATTGTATTTGTGTCTCTTCTATGACATTTTTATTCCTTTATTGATGAATAGAGAGATACTTCAAGTTGCCATGTATTAAAGTGTGAAATTTGGTAGAGTTTTGATTAATGTTGACACCAACCAACAACTATAATCAAAATAACGAATGCATTATTTATGCTCCAAAATCATTTTTCTTATCACTTTGCCATACTCACTCTGCTATTCTCTCCTCCTTTCCTCATAGGTAGTCATTTTTGAGTCATTTGATAGTAAAATATACATACTATGTTTTTTTATACCAAATGCTTTAGGATGGTTTTTTTGGACATCCACTTCTCTCCCGACCCAACCCTGTCTTTAAATTATCAGCTGCTTCTGCCAAATATGTCCAACTTGCAGCCCCTGGGCAGCATGTGTCCCAGGGTAACCCAGAATATAGTCCAACACAAAATTAGAAACCCTTTGGTGACTTGATCCCACATTCCTGAGTGTGAATTTCATCAATGACAATACCATGTTATAATCTAGA